TCAACGGTCCTCATTAAATTTGGATATCCAGCGGCTTTTAGGATGGCGGCATTAGTGCAGTGACTGCACTACAGATTCCGCGACCAAAAAATAATGAACAAGGAAAATGACACCCCCAACTCTCTCCTCTGTCTCAACGGCCTTTATTGACCAAAATGGCCCAATCGCCCCAATTTTTAGGGTTTCCCTACATTTGTTTCATGGTCCACCTTCCTTTCAGTTGTATCATCTTCAAAATTAAATGAGCACAATACCAAAGCTGTGAATTCATGATAAGCTCTAGAGTGGCCGGCCACCGAGACAACACGAACGAGGTCGTGTTCGTATTTCCATCCAGATGCTTTCCAATCCCGCCGATGAATTTCCCTACAATGGGCAAGTCTGGACTTTATTATGTGCACTAAGGGCATAGGCTAAATAATACGCACTCAAGTTCAGTGGCGAAGAAGAGACTTCCTTTTCCTATCAGTACAAGTAAATCAGTAGCCCCATTTGATTTGATCCATGTTGATATCTGGGGTAAAGCCCCTGTTCTTTCTTTACAAGGACATGCGTACTTTCTCACCATTATGGATGACTTTACTCGTCATACATGGATCTTCACCATGAAACACAAATCAGAGGCTCGTCCTATTATAATCAACTTCTTTGCTTTTATTGAAACCCAGTTTAAAGCATCTATTAAAACCATTCGCACAGATAATGGTCTTGAGTTTCACATCCCTGCTTTTTATAACTCAAAAGGTGTTATCCATCAAACCACTTGTGTTTACACCTCCCAATAGAATGGTATATTCGAGAGAAAGCACCAGCATATTCTAGCTGTAACTCGTGCTTTACTCTTTCAAGCTTCTCTACCTTCTAAGTTCTGGCATTTTGCTGCAATGCATGCAGTCCACCTCATTAACAGAACTCCATCAAACCTCCTTCAGAACTCTACTCCTTATGAGAAGTTACATGGTGTACCACCAAATCTTACCCATCTTAAGATCTTTGGCTGTCTTACTTATGCAACAACCATTCAAGCCACAAGAAATAAGCTTGATCCTAGGGCACAACCATGTGTTTTCCTGGGCCGTCCCCATGGAACAAAGGGTTTCAGATTATACAGTCTGACAACTCATAGCATTCTCATATCAAGAGATGTTTCATTCCATGAAACAACCTGTTTCTTTTTTTCTTTCTTCTATAGAATCTCCTTCCTTTAAACATTAAAGGTATCTAAATAAGCCGCAAGTAATAATAATACACTTAATCATCTAATTATGTGAAAATAAATATAAAATATGTAAAGAAAAATAATGATATTTTTTTATAAAATACATATGCATATGTACCATGAAATGAGTTTGGATGGTTAGTGACAAAATCATGTTCACTCATGACCCGCATATTCGGATTCAGATTTTATCCGTACCCAGCGAAAATTCTTTGAGGTCAAGTCTTATCCTACCTGACTAAGTCAAATTAGGGTGGTATCCATGTTTGTGGATATTTTTACGCCCAATCAAGACTTCGATTTATTTTGGAAATACTGAAGATTGTGATGGAGAAGTCGATAAAGAGATGGGTATTAAATGTATTTCTATTTATTTATTGAAACTCTTTAATGGTATTGAAAATTTGAGGACTTAATATGTAATTATTTTTAATTTTTATGTAATTTGTTCATTAAAGTATGTTTAATCTTGCACGAAAAGTTAGTTTCACATATTTGAGAATTGTTGTTCACTTAAATTGATTCAATTGTAAAACAGTACCGGATTGTACCAAAAAAAGTACGTGATAGGTTATTTTGTGTTAAATCATTTTTCAACAGTTTCATACTACTAAAACTCCCTAGTGGCTTGAGCTCCGATAGGCTATTTTACTGGTCAGGCCGCCGGTACAAACCTTTTTTTTGCAAATAACGATTAAATTTTAAAATATGGTAATCAGACCAACATTTTTTATATCATAGAAATCATTACTAAATAGGATTTAAGTTTTGAGGTAAAGTCTAAAGAATTCTCAATTAAATAGGGTTTACCCGGCGAAAATGTTAGTTTCCTTTTGTTTAGGTTTTGCTTTCCAATGTCCAGAAGAAGAAAAAAAACATAATGGTTGCTAAACGGACCCCTTTCCCTAATACCGAGTTTCATCATCCCCGTTCTCTTGACCCATAAGTCCATTCATTTACTCTTCCCCTTTCATTCCATCGAATTTGAGTCTCTCGGTGATATCTACCTTCTTCATAAACCCAATAACCAGAGTTCGTAAGGGGACTAGAGAAGACTACCATGATACAAAATATCTCTACCAGAGTCTCTAGGAATGCACGTTCTTTAGTCATTCGGTCAAAATCGTCTTTCTATCTCCTAGATTCATTCTGCTTTTTAGGTGACACTAATCGCAAGAACATGTGTATTTTCCTTTTAGCTCTATAGGTTAATTATATCATAGTTCAAATTGAATTTTGAGGGCTAGGCATGTAACAATTAAATTTGGAGATGAATCTTTGGTAGTCGGAGGAGTCTAACTCCTTGACCTGTTGTGGGAAGGATTGCAACAATTTTGTGAATATGTTATTAAGCTTATTTCTAGGAAGAGATTTCCAAATCTATCTTTTTCAGTTACCGAGGGATCGTAAGATCTTGGTGATATTTAGCTTTCAATTTATTGGAGTGCTTGATTTATGCTCCTAATCTCTTCTGTGCTTTTTAAGTGAATTTGAAACCTATGAAGGTCAATATCAAAATTGGGACTAGCAATTTAGGTCATTCATTTGTGACTATCGATCGCCAACATGCCCTTTCAAATCATACAATTTCATATCTATAAACCGTGTCATGATCAACAAAGATGATATATACTGGAAAATATTTTCATAGATATAATGGACTATATCAAAATCATCATAAATATATTTTTTGACATATTGTGTATCTTTGCTATTTACACTCATTATAAATGCAACAACACATACAAAAACAAATAATCAAACTCATCCGACCAACTAGCCGGGCCCGATGCTAGTTACCAAATATCCAAACGTAGCTCCAAGTTCAAACATTTCATTTAATTCTTTATAAGTAATCAATATGACATATCTGTATAATATTATACATGTATTCACAACAATATATTTATTTAACAATCATAGGGGTCGTTTGGAAGTTGTGAGTTTTAAATAGATGTATTGTTGAGAATGCATGCATAATATTATACATGTATTGTCGAATTTGATGCATTGTAGAATACAACGTTTGGTATGTGTGATTGTGTATGTCGCATCAGCTAAAATCTGAGACAAAACAATCTCAACTCAACTATCTCAACAATCACAACTAATAGTTGAGATATAACAATCATTCAAAATGAGTGATAGTTTCTGTCACATCACAGAAAAAATCCATGTATTGTTTCTGCTAAAAAAACAAAAAAAAACGATGCATTGTAAACAATACATGCATAATAACAATCTCAACAAAACTGTCGCAACTTCCAAACGACCCCATAATATCCAAACCATCCTGTCACTTTTGTTTTTCTGGATTGTTCTGTTGGAGTTTCAGGGGGAGGTGGTTCATTGCTTGTGAACCCCAGGCCCCAGCCCTGCTTTTCTGGACTCTTCTTCCTTTTTAATGCAAATTTCGCCATTATAAAAAAAAACAATGTCCAAACCACCCTAAATCAAGTTTTAGGTGTTAAAAAAGATATTTTCCCACGTTCAGATTTTCCTCAACCTTACAATCAAAATGTAAAATTTCGAAACAATTCACTCTAGCGCACCTCCAGCTTCTATTCTATTTTCAAAATTACTGCAACTCGACAAAATTTTGGTCGCGAGTTCTTGTTGTTGTTCAGGCGTGTTCCACTAGCTTAGGGATGGTCATCACTAAGTTCTTCAATTCTCCATATAGACACGGAGCTAACGCGCACGATCTACAACACATCTCCATTATCTTGTCTGTCATATTCTGATGTTTGTTTATTGGGCAATTAGTTTTCTTAATATTTATCTATCTATATCGATAGTTCGATACATGTATCGACGTTGACTGTTTTACTGTGCACTTCTACAAAATAGGGTAGAAATACCCCTATATCCACTCCATATACTGCATAATGTAACTGGAAAGATTTTGCTATAGGTAGGGCGCGCATGTGAAACTATATCTAATGGTTAATTAGTGAAAAATATTATAGACTTGACTATTATACAAAAATTCATTGTTTTGTAGTACTATACAATTAGATCTAATATAATGGTTGTATTTTGAGAAGGTGAGATCTAATGGTCACTAGTATGAAGGGATAGAGATGGGGAGGTTTGCCCGGATATGTTGTCGTTGTCCAAATTTTGGGCAGGCTGGCACGGATAGACAGTAGACACTTTTTCATGTCATTACCATATCGTTTCATATCAAATTCTTGTCATTCATATCAAAACCGTATCAGTTCTATGTCGTTCATATCAATATCATATGATCAGTTCATACCAAGTTCCGGCATGTGGTTTGTGGTATGCTTCACGATATACTTGTAATGAGGTGCGAGAGTAATGCACAATACGCGTGCACATGTGTCTTCCTCCAATTTTTTATAATAACAAACATGCTCATCATTTTATAAATTCGCATTAATTATCATCAACACTGAGGGAGAAGCATCTGCCCCTGAACGCATATGTTAGTGCCTTCCTTTTATTTGTGTCCGTACATGTTATATAATAATATTAAACAAAGGGTAGCCAGCCACTAGGATTCGTCACTTTCTGTTGTACATGACTGCCCTTTGTCGTATCTCATCTGGTCTGCGGAGGGAGAAGCATACCAGCCAAAATTAGATGACCCGATCTAGTGGGATATCACTGCACACTCCTTTGCCACTTCCACTAACTTCCCCAGCATTAACTTAAATCTCTTATTTCATAAAGAAAAGAAAGCTTATACGTTTTTGTTAGCACCCATAATTGCCCTGATACCTATAAATACGGGCATGTCTCCATCCTCGATCGCCAATCGTCCGTGGAACGGCCGGGGTCGAGCTAATCAAAGAGAAGCAATATCCCCCCTCCACGGCAAACCCAAAAACAAAAACAAATACGCAAAAAAAAAAAAAAAAAAAAAAGAAGAAGAAGAGGTAGCATACACACAAAATATATATGGAGTCAACCGTAGTAATAGACATCAACGTAAAACAAAGTGGCGTCGTTGCAACTGATCTGGTTTCCCAGACAGCAGCCAAGAAGCCAGCCGGCGTTGCGTCAGTTTCACTTTGGTTTCCGAAGGATGAAGGCAGCGGGAAGAGCGCCGGAGGTGCAACGAACAATGGCGGCGGGGAGAGGATGAAGGTGATGAGGAAATGGATCCACAGTGTCAAAGTTGGAGCGGCGCTTGTGTTGGTATCTCTACTCTACTTCCTGGACCCGCTGTACAAGGAAGTTGGTGACGATAACGCCATTTGGGCTATCATGACGGTTGTTGTCATCTTTGAGTTTCATGCTGGTATGTACGAATGTGTGGCGGCTTCAAATTTCTTCTTCTTCTTCTTTTTTTCCTACCATTTACAATTATGAGAATTACTAGACGTCGTTGCATATTGATATCGCTAGAAATTAAAAATGTCTATACATCCATCCATAAAATGGAATGATATAATTATTAATTTCGTGATTATCGTGTAATTGCGAGCAGGGGCGACACTTAGCAAAGGGATGAATCGGGTGATTGGAACCGTAGTGGGAGGTGGGTTGGGATGTTTGGTGGCAACTACGGGCCAGAAACTTGGTGGGATTGGCAACTCTGTTATCGTCGGCCTCGCTGTGTTTTCCGTGGGTAAGATTCATCACCCCCACCATCATCATCAATTAACTATTACTTAAGACTGCCACGTACGTAGCAACACAACCACATCATTCCACCATAGATTTCTTTTTACATCCGAGTTTAAAATATTTTTGCTATTAGTGACATTTCAGGAGAAAAAAAAAACTTAATTATTGAAGTGAAAAGTTTTGTGGTGTGTTAAATTCATAGGACACCCACCAATAACAGAAGTAATTCTAAAGCCTATATAAAGCGAGAAGCGTGAAGTAAATTACCAGTCATTATCATATATATTGCGCCTTCTACTAGATGAAATTCGGAGTACCGCATACCTTGAGTATGAAAACGCTATCTAGACCTCGAATTAGCAAGAGTTTTGGGCATAAAACTATACCCTAACCCTTAATGAGTGAACCCTAGGTCCTAATTATCTAAATCATAAACTATAAATCCTAAGATGGTGCATTGATTTTTTGACTATATTTGGACAAATCATAACCGTTGATTATTATTTATGATTAAATTGATCTTGGGGTATAAGATTTAGAGAATTAAGACCTAGATGTTGATCTTTAAGGGGTTATAGTATAGTATCATCTCCGAAAGATTAGTCAATTCAAGTTCTGGATAGCGTTTTCTTACTCAAGGTATACGGTACCCTGAATTTTACCCTGAGTACCATAGAACTACTCACATATATGTATATATATGTTTGGTTAATCACTCTTTAACCTCACTTTTATAACCAGCAACACCATTAATAGTTGCATGAAGGATGTGACTAAGAAGAGCTAATCCCAACACCATTAGTTACTTTTTACATTATGGTATTGTATTTTCGTCAAATAAAAAAGAACAAAATTAGGTTCTTGGTGCAGGTCAGTGCCGCACTTAAGAGTACATGACGTCGCATCCATTCCACACTATAGTCTATACTGACAGATGAAATAAATAAATGGAAATTTAAATACAGCAGTGCTGATTATGTACGTGTTGCAGCTGGAGGGGCGACATACTTCCGGCAGACGCACAAGAGCAACGTGTTCGACTACGGGGTGAATATTTTCATCCTCACATTCAGCCTGGTGGCGGTTTCGGGGCTGCGAATCGAGAACGTGATGGAAATAGCGAGGGAGAGGCTGCTGATGATCTTGCTGGGATTCATGACCTGCATCTTCACCAGCTTGTTCGTCTTCCCCATATGGGCCAGCGACGAGCTTCACTCTTCCTTGTCCTCCAGATTCCATCAACTCTCCACTTCCTTCCAAGGTGCGTGACAAAAATTGAGTTAATTAATAATATCACTATCTCCTGCTATATATATATAATTGGTGATTATATATTTTGGTGCAGGGTCCGTGGAGGAATACTTCAAAAGTAGTAGTGATGGCAACATGGAGGAGGAGGAGAAGGAGCCATCCTCAATCCCCCAGCAGCCAGTTGTTGATGACTATTTCAGGACTTGTGAGAAGGTGTTGCAGTCCAAATCCAAAGATGAATCCTTGGTAAGATGGAATCGTACAAGTTAGGTTGCCATTCAGCACCCCCCACATTTTCCACTACAATACAATACAATCGACAGAAATGTAAAAGAAGATGATTAATTAACTAGCCTGCATTGCAAGAAGTGCTCCATATGAAATGTGTAGTGGATGATCCAGATAGCATAGCATAAATATATATATGGTGTTGTAATGGGAGGAGACAGCAAGTGAAGTTGTGGGTCAATCTCATGAATTAATATATATTGCAGGTTGTAGCTGCGAGATGGGAGCCGTGGCACGGGAAATTCGGGCTGTCGTATCCGTGGGACAAATACAAGAGGATAGGGGAAGTAGTGAATGAGCTGGCCGCAGCCATCCTCTCACTCAAATCTTGTCTAAAATCACCAACACAGGTACCAAACCACTCTCACGCATGCACACCCACCACTACCATTACCCTCTTCTTTCTTTCTTTCTTGATAAATCCACCGCTGCCTGGTTTTGTTGGTGCTTTTACTTATAATAGCACCATAAATTGTCTGGCAGAATACTTACTTACTTGCTTGTAGTTCCGATTATAGTTCGCTTACAAGTTACAATGAGTTCGTCACTTGTCAGTAAGTTGCGTATTGAGGAAAAATCTATTTGTGTCATTAAGAAAAAGATAGCCAAGTTGATTATTTTATATCATTAGCTAGCACGTACTCGTAAATGAAATTCAACACATAAATTTTGAATTGTATGCATATAATATATATTTTATTTAAGTCAATTATTAATAGTGAGAATTGTGATGTTCAAACACAAAAGTTATTGATGGAAATCTTTGATACTATGTGCAAAAACCCAATTTGTTCCAATAACTAAATTTTTTGTAAGCAAAATATAGCAAGAAAATTTTATATCGGTCTCTTATCATGGCAAAGGCTAGCACATGGTAGGTTCACACTTATGGTATAATATCATGCTAAAAATTCTGATTAATCCATTATATGAATAATAAAACTTGATGGGTAGGCCGGACAATCTTGCCCTCTTATCATAATTGTTTATCTTTAAATTTTTGGAACTCAGTACAAGAAGAAATTATATATCATTCTCTTGGGATGAGATAGGATGTCTACCTCTAAAATGTTGGAAAGATGGCACTCTCTATTAATTATAAGTTTTTAAGGTAATTAATTTGTGTTGCATTTAATAATCTGTATGAATTAAAAACACATATTAATTACTTTCTTTTTTTCAGTGCATTGGTAGTTGTATCAGTGCAAATGCAATGATATTAGTATACAGGTGCAATGGTAGATGTACCAGTGCAATGGTAGTTCCAAAAAAAAGAACGTAATTAATATGAGTTCAACATTCAGTTGCAATGGTAGTTGTATCAGTGCAATGGTAGTTAAAAAAAGGAATGTAATTAAGATGAATTTTTAATTTTCAAAGATTATTAAATGCAATACGAATTTAATACAAAAAATAACTATAATTAATAAGGGTGTCATTTTGCCAACCCTACCCTTAAAAGGGTTAGCATGCTAACCGATCCCCATTCTCTTACCATATGTATGTTTACCTTTTTGTCACTCAAAGGGTCGTCACACGAAAGAAAATAATTACCCGAATCCAATGACTACAACTTGATTCTTGTTATTTTTTTTCGTACTGGTGACGTTGGTGCTAACTATTTTTCTCGCATTCTAATAATGTGATAAAAGGCAGAACAAACCAACAGAGAATCAATCAAAGAGCCCTGCCAAGCCGCAGCTGCGTCGCTGGCGTGGACCATCGGAGAGCTAGGCGACAGCATTTGTGGGATGCGAAGATGCAATCCCGAGACCTCGATACTGCCGGAGTTGAAATCGGCGAGGCTGGAGCTAAGCAGGGCCGCCACGACGCCGTTTCAGCGAGGATCAGATAAAGGCAGCGACGCTGAGACACTTGGGATGGCGAGCTTTGTATTCGCGTTGATGGAGATCGTGGAGGTTTTGGAGCAACTGGCGAAGGAGGTGGACGAGCTCGGCCAAACCGCCGGTTTCCATGAAACCTAATGATGATGACGATGAAGATGCTAGCTAGTACGTACGCAATATAATCCGTCAAGAAATATATATAGCCGCGTGGGAGATCTATTTTCAATTAATGAAGAAGAAACCAAACTATATTGATGTATTGGGCCAAATATTTTTGGGCTCGGTGGGTCGATGTTAATGCATTAACTCCCATGCAGTACAAGAAGTAAATAAAATTAACGTGTGAAGTGTGAACCATAACATTTTATGGGGAAAAAAATATATAATCGAGAAAGCAATAAAAAGGATGTTGAAATGTGTTAAATTTGTTATTCTTATGAGATCTCATTGTTCGAATAACAAGGTAGAGTTTGAGGTTGAAACATGAGATCTCTTGATTGCTTATGGTGTATGGACTTTGCCCATATGTTTATTAATTTATTTTGGTTCTGTTTATCCCCTATTTCATTTACCGATATATAAAATGGTTTGCCCATATATTTTTATTTATTTATTAGGGGCAAAAAAAATCTGTATAATATGCAATCTGTTATATTTATTATCTTACTTAGTGACCTCTTAACCAAAAAGGTATAGCTAACGCACTGTTAATGAACCATGTAATTTTTTTTTATAATAATGAACCATATAATTTTATGTACACGTTCGAAATCATTATTTGCATTGTCAATTTTCTCTATTATGACGAGAAGAAGAAAAGCTGGGTCACCTATATTTAGGGCTGTTAGCGGTGCGGTTTTGGTTTTAACCGAACCGCAAAGTCGGTTAGCCGACGCCGAGAAGGAGGTGAAATCCCCAACCGTCATCGACACCGACTGCACTATCGGTTAGCCGATAACCGCAGCCGACGGTTTCGGTGGGATGGGCGGTTAGCCGAGAAGGCCTGGAAATTGGGGAGTCGGAGCGACGGGCAAGGTGAGGATGTGGACGACGGCGATTTGTGTGATTGGACTGATGCGCGGTAGAGTGGGGATGTGGACGGCGGCGCTCCGGTGGTGGTGTCTGGTGTGGGCGCTCCTTGCCATGCTTAGGGGTGACAATCGGTTTTCTGGTTTTTGGTATAACCGGTTACCGAACCGGTAACCGCCGGTAACCGGTTATACCGATAACCGGAAAACTCGGTTGTCGGATGGAGGAAACGCAGCGCCGGTATACCGCCTCCCCACCCGGTATATACCGACGGTTATCCGGTAAACCAGATACCGTTTGGGAGAGGGGCAAAACGCAGCGCTGCACAAGCCAGCCAAATGGGGGTCGGGGGAAATAGGCAAAACGAATCGAAGGGGCAAAAAAAAAACCCTAATGCCCACTTCTCTTCTCCTGTTCTCCTCTCCATCGTCTCAGCGCCGACTGCCGAGATTCTTGGAGAGCCGCAGCTTCATCCATCGCCATCTGCCGACTGCCACCTCGACTTCCGACCTCCTTCCGACCTCCCAACGACGCCTCCTTCCACCCTTCCCACTGCCACAAACCACAGTCCCACTTCCCTCTCCGATTCTCCTCCCTCTCCTACTCTGCCTTTCGCCCTTTCACGCCCTTGCCAGACGACGCGTTCCTCTTCCCCCGTCGCCGGCGACGAGAGCCTGCCTCCCATCACCCTTCTGCACAATAGGTTACCGGTTACTTACCGGTTAACCGAACCGAATTATGGTTTAGCTTCCTTGGCTCGGTGTTTCAGTAATACCGGTTTGTAACCGTTAACCGGTTAACCGGTTACAAATCGGTAGCGGCATTCGGACGTGGTTTCAGAGCAGTCGGTATACCGAACCGGTTACCAGCCCTAGCCATGCTCATGCATGTCACTGGAAGTCAAAGAGGTAGAGGAAGAAGGCCATGGCAGATTCGATGTGAGGGACTAAGGCGAGCATGCGATTCCGATTAGAGACGGCAAGGTAGACGGGGCGGCGTCGACGACTACGAGATGGATTTATTGGCGTCGTCTACGAGGGTTTTGCAAGCAATTTTGCAGTCTCGCAAGTGCCGCCGTCGGAGCAAAGATAAGGGGTGGCGAGGTCAGAATTTGGGAGAATTGAGATGGTAAGGATTTAGGGTTTGTGTGGGATTTTGGTGGAGAAGGGGAGGCGAGGACGATTTTGAGGAAGGAAAGATGTTGGCTTTGAGTTAGAGGAAGATTTGAGGCATGGATCGGAAGGAAGGAGCTGGGCGGAGAGGTAGAGGAATGTGGGGATCGGGAGGAAGAAGGAGTTGGGGGCAGCGAGAGGTCAAAGGGATGGTTGGTCGGTTAGCAACCGATAATCGTCGGTTAGCAACCGATAACCGCAAGTTAGTGAATAACTCCAAATGGGCCAACCGACACCGAGATCTTATTTTTCGGTTTTCGGTTAACCAATACACCGATCTTTCGGTTCGGGTTTTCGGTTGACCGACTAACCGGTAACCGATTATCACCCCTACTTATATTGGTGAAAAGTTCTGATACTCAACTTAAGGGAAGTAGAATTTTCTGTTTTGATAAGTTTTATAAATTTTATATGAGAAAATACCTACCAGATAACTTATATTATTGCTAGAAAAATAGATGAGACTATGAGTAAAATTGTGGACCAAATCGTACTCTATAGTTGGGTGCGTAGATCTTCAAGAATACTTCGATCTGGTCCACGTCTATATTATGAGATGTTTGATCTCATAGTCTATTTGATCCAGATTTTAGTTTATTGGACAAGACTGTGTACCCAAATCACTTCCTAATTATATTTAGCAACCCACTCGATCACTCTTCCCACTCTATAATGACACCCAAGTCTAAATTTGAATATTGAACAATCTTGGCTAGTATAATAAGACATAGATAGAGATCAAGGTGGCCCATAGAGCAAATTGCTGGATTGAGAATTACCGAGAGGGTAAAAAATCATCGAATCCAAATTTTGATGATTCTCTGATTCACTGTAAACAATGGGGAAAAAATCATCATTTGGAATCTAGAGTTTTCAAACTTAATGATGCAAGGAATCTGGGTGAGGAAGGAATTGGTATAGGTGGTATTATTATTGACTCAGGTTTTCTTCAGTATGATATAAAATTCTATATTAACATAGGTTGTTGTCAAAAAGAAGAAAAAAAATAAATCAGAACACAACTCAGACAGGAGTGCGACGTCATTGACTTTCCCGTAAAAGAACTCATTCTTTTCAAATAGCAGCTCTAACGCCTATAATGACTTTAGGATTGAAGTAGCCCATTTTAATTTTCTAAACAATCATACGCAATAAGCCCAGGATTTGTTTTGTCATGGTAATTTCCAGAAATATGACCAAATTATCTTTTTCATCAAATGAAAATTGTTCTAAAAAGTATTCCCCATATGTAACAAGACTGCTAACCCCCTGAACTTTCACAATAATAATAAAAATGGAAACCCTATATTGTATATAACATACATGCACATACCATTTTCTGTTTGAATAGAATTACAGTAGAGAGTATTGAGGTAAAAACTAAATTAATCGCTGAGAAAAAGTAACATGGTGGTTGCTCGATCCATAATAAGAACTAATTGGTTTAGTACAAATGACTATAATTAGCTTGATGGTCCATCCATGTAAAGGAAAAGAATATTATAGAGCAATAACATATGAAGGATGTTGGGCATGGCAGGATCTCCATTAATATTTTTTTTACACCAACATGCCACAATTGTTCTTTCAAAAACTTTACATCTATATTAGAGCATAATAACACCTGCAAACACAACCTCCAACACATACACAATTCATGGCTTTCTTAGAAAGCTCATTCCCAATCTTTCTTTGGTTATCTTTTTCTTTCTTCCTTTTTTATTTTCTTCTTTTCTTGATTTGGTTTTTTCGTATTCAAGAAATAAGTGGATGAGTAAAGAGGTGAGATAGGAGTAGAAGGAGGAGAGAGGAGGGAGGAGAATTCGTCAGTAGTGAATTCTAGTACCAGGGAAGGGTAAAAATGAGTTCCCTTGGATTGGTTTCATTGCCTCCTCCTGTCTGCATCAATGACAAGGTTATCGAAGCTACGAAGCTGATGTTCAGTGCGAGCTGATTCTCGGGGAGTGCTGCCACCTTGGTGGTGGGATGCTAATGGGGCTTTTGTATCAGAACCAGAGTGGATTCTTTGAGTAGTTGAGAGGCGACTGCTATTGGAGAAGAGCCAGCTTGATCGACTTTCACTCCCTACGTTTGATGAGCTCAATCTACTGGAGGATGCAACTGCTTTCTTTGACATATTCCGTGAGGAAGATGGTCGGCTTTTCTCAACGTCTGATCGCTGAGGACGAAGAAGGTGAAACAGAAAAACAATGAATGTCAATGCATCTTGTGTGAATAACCTAGGAAAATCTAGGTATAGTATTGCATTTTCAATTTTTATTAAGCTTAGAATGACGATAGTGTTGCCAAAATGGAATTACATTTGACAATTACAAAAAGAAAAATTATAGGAATGAGTTCATGCAAGAAGGATTAATGGAAACCCACTAAAATTTACTGCTATTTTATCTTTACACTATCAAATTCTTCTCATTCTCTTTATTTTTATAAAAGACATAAGTAACAGGGCATGTCTTCCATGCACTTCTAGAGTTTCAACGAATTGTAGTAACATTAAATGGTTAACAATGAACTTTTGATTTTTACTCAAAATATTTGTCAAGGTCCATATATAAGATTAACCGTGAACCATTCAGTAAAAGCAATGGTATATTTTATGCACCAAAAAATGGCAGCACACCATAGACACCCTATGAAACACACTTGATTTCTTTTTAATTTATCATAAGAAATAGAAACTTGTTTTCATTGTTGTGATAATTAATCCATACACAAGAATAAGAATATTGTAAAACAAGCATGAAATAAGTTCCATTTTATATAAACTTACATTGTCCTTGGAGGATGATCCATCCTCGGCTTGCCTGTGCTTTGAGCGCTCACGATGCCCTGTACCAGAAGCACTCTTTCTACCTGCTAAAGCATCTACACCTCCTGACATTGGCCTTTCACGAGTCCCTGGTCTCTCCGGATTAAGCATACAGGCCAACACAATACACGAACACCCAGAAAGAAAATCATGTCAGACATTATTATGTTTTATAAAGATGTATGGGAAAACAAAAGGTTTCATAGTGCATACCAACATAAATTTATCTCAAGGCATATCACCTAGTGGATAGAGAAATAACATATCATTGGCGTATTTGGTTTGTTATACAAACATCGGGTGAGATCTATTTGCAAAAATATAGTTAATTTATGTGCAGTTGTGATGAAAACGTCTTCTGAAGGAATATGTGGCACTTTTCTTTCTTTATCTTTGATTCTAGAGTGAAGTTTCAAATCCCTACCCCAAGTACTTGAAATTACAAATATAATTATGCAGAGAAAATTTTGTGTATTTCAAATGCATTCAAATACCTGAAATAAGTATCGACGGTAAGGAAAAATCATATATTTACTTGCACAGTTATGCCCAACCCAACCAAACAAGATGACTTGTTAGTGGAGTCCCATCATTAACAAAGCAGTTGAAAAAATCATAGAAATTTGCTAGGTATTATTATATACCTTCCCATCGTGGGAAGGAACACACCTGATGCCTTTTCTGGTTTTTCACCTGTTGCTTGTGGTTTTGGTCCTGTTGTGCCACTAGCCTAGTGGGAAGAAACAATGGTTAAATTAAGAACATAAAATGATTCAACATTAGAAGATCTAAATAAGGACTCTGCATGAATCACTGACCCGACTTCTAGAACTGGAGCCTATTTGCGGATACTTCAATATGGTCCAATCAAATATGTAGTCAAACTGATATCCTACGTATAATACATATCATGGATGGTTATTGATATTATTACATTAGAAGGAAAAAAAACCTAACTAAAGATACTCGTTTACTCACCTTCGCGAACAAAAAGGTCACGGAACAGCCTTTTCAAATATGCATAATCAGGCTTATCTTCAAACCTTAAGGATCTACAATAATGAAAGTATGATGTGAACTCTGACGGATATGACTTGCAAAGAACCTGCCAAATGTTTGAAAAGTCATGAACGACCTTTTCCATCTATAAAGAGAGAAAAATCACATAGACGTGAGTGTTGTGGCATCCGTTAAGTTCAAATTAATAATACCTCAATTGGTGTCAACATCTTCTTTTCACTAATTTTATCATACTTCTGCTTTTTCGTTCCAGCCTTCAGACCCTGCCATGGAAGGCTGGTGCCAAGAGTAAATTAAGTAAGATCCTTCTCAATCATAAGTAATGAGCTATATGCCGTGAGATATTCTAAAATAATTGGCATGGTGATAAAACTAAGAGCAACAAATATAAGAGTTTTCGTATGTTTTCAACCTTCCCCTTAAGAAATACATGAGTACATATCCGAGGGATTCCAAGTCATCTCTTCTGCTTTGTTCTGAAATGTAGGGTAAACTAAATCGCCATTAGATTTCAACTGAGGCATAAAGACAAGCTACAATAATTCATTATCAATGAAACAACGCTTTACTTACCAACTCCAAGATGAGTATTAACACTAGCATATCTAGCTGTTCCTGTAAGATTTTTGTTCTCTCTGAACCGAAGAAAAATTGCCACAAAATCATCAATTTTCAATTTTATGTATACACATCACGGAGAAGAGAACATAAACATCTACATACGAAGAAAAAAAACATACATATAAGAGAACATGGGAAATGATATCTTGCATAGCATGAAGTGTCACAACTACTTTATATACATTTATGTTACAAGCGCAATTTTAGAAGAAGCTCAAAATGGAAGTTGCCTCGGATCAAAAGGCAGTCACTGATATCGATCTGAATTCGAATGGATACAGCTCTGATAACATTTCACATGAAAACAGATAAAGCTATAAAAATATATTTCTAGAAAATCATTACTCACTAAACAAGCACAATATTTTAAGAACTCACAAGGGAGAAAAGTTAGGCATGAACCTCTACCCAAAACCCACCAAGGACAATACCATAGTGAAGCTACCCAACAAAAATAAAAGAAACTTTCTATAAGAAAGACAACAACATGGGTTTACGTGCCACTTTATAGTATTATGAAGGCAAAGAAAGTGTAGAGTACATTACCTATATGGTATGTGCTTATGAGTTTGAAGATCCCTATACTTCTTTGCTAGCCCGTAGTCGATAACATACACCTGTTAAATCAATTGACAAGAAGAAAATGAGTAAGGAATAACAAAATTTCCTTTCTGCAGTTAATGTACTAAACACAATATCTTCAAAGAAAATTTAAAGTTCTTATGAAAAAGATATATGACTAAAGGTAAGGAAACTAACAAGCTCATTTATCATCATTATTATCACTCATATCAACCATAAGTATCCCTCATAGTAGCTTAACTATCTATCATATTAAAATATTAGTCGCTATGCACAATTATGTAAAAACATTGTTTTTTAGGTCATTGATGCCAACAAAGGTTCAAAACCATGATATGGTGGATATTTGTCATGTTCCATTACTATTAAATAACCCTTTGGGTTTAATGTGGAAGAAAATTTAGCACCTATAGAGAAGGCGCCCTAAAACCTATTATAAGGTGCAAATGGTATGTGCATAAATACCTGATTAGCTTTGCGTCCTAACCCCATTAGAAAGTTGTCAGGCTTTATATCACGGTGGAGGAAACCCCTTGAGTGCATATACTCAATTCTATTAATCTGAGAAGTAAAAAAATGGTAATACACTTATAAGATGAATGGTTGAAGGTAGCAAAAAAATATAGAAAGAGAAGTGAGTAAATACCATACCAACTGATCTGCAAGCATAAGAACCGTCTTTAAAGAAAATTTTCGGTTACAGTAGTTGAACAAGTCTTCTAGGCTTGGCCCCAGAAGGTCTATGACCATGACATTATAGTCACCCTCAACACCAAACCACTTGAGCTCGGGAATTCCAGCTGCATGATGATAGTTGATCATTTACCCAAAAAATTACAACATATATGATGAATCTCAAAGTTTTATGCTAGGAGTGAAATTTTCCTTTGTATGTGAAGGAGAAAATAACTTACTTCCCCCTTGGAGAATCATGTAAATTTTAGACTCATAGTGTAGCTGAGGATGTCTAGTCTTCACAGGCTCCTACGAAGTTCATTAATAAATAGAGAAGAGTACGAAAATGTGATATGTCAATGGCTTCTCCATGCAAGTCGATGTTCAGGTTTTCCAAAAAATTTCATCTAAGGCTTTTCTGAAACTTCAGAAGGACTAAGAGTTTATAATTTTGGGGAAAATTGGAATCTACTTCTACATTATCTAAAATTCATGAGGATAAGAAGGAAGAACTTTGTACGTAGCAAAACCATCCTCTTCCCCTAAGAAATGGCATTCAATAGTTGAAAACAAAGCATTCTTCATGTAATTTATCATAGAAACAAAGCTTGACGGAGGATAGGGAACACAAAAGAGGTCCAGTGACAATCACTCAAAGAACTCAAATATTTATGGAATAGAGCTAAGGGGAAAACTAAAAGATGTTGTCTTTGCAATACAAAAGTAGAAACATTTTTAGATAATTATCAAAAAGCCAGAGGAAAGCCATCTGAATTGACAAGGCAAACTGGTACTAAGAGTGAGAGGGAATTAAATCATATGAACAAAAAGTATTTCTCTTCGTCAATAAAATATAATGGCTACAATTTGTCATACTTGAGATTTGAGACCATATAGAACAAAGGTGTGGACTCACAAAGCCTTCAAGATTGATTACTCGATCACTATCCCTAACCTGATTTCTCCTCTGCCATCTAAAATTTTCACATCCTTGCTATAGATTTTGTCATTCGCCAGAAAACCAGTAAGATACAAAAGGTGGAGGATTTCTTAAAATTTTCACATCTAACAACAAGCAATCATCATCGATATAGCCAGTCAATAAACCAAAACATAGCTCACTTTAATAAACACAACAAAAAGAGAAATCACAATGTTAAATGGAAATAAGTTTACAGTTAAAAATTCTCATTACCAGCTTCACACCAACTTCATCTCCCGTCTGGACATTGACAGCTGCATAAAAATGAAGGCAAATAATTTTTCATTAGAACTATAAGACAAACCCAAATCCCCAAACTGTATTAAAGGGGAAAAAAGAAGGAATAATCAAGAGAAGCAAATATTAACCAATGTATAGCTCCCCAAAAGATCCACTGCCGATCTTTCGGCCGAGTTTGAATTTTCCACCGACAAGATGATCCATCGCTTATCAAAACTCTAGTTCATAGGCCTCCTTCCCAAAATTGAGGAAATATACCAGAATTGCTTTAAATTTTGCAAGGCATCTCTATGGTTTTGTAATAAACTTGTCTCTGAACTCTGAAGGAGAAAATCACTAATTTAACATAATTTTTTGACCCAACAATTCGGCAAAAAACCTTAGAATCTACAATCGAATTGGATGATTGTAGAGGGACAACAATAATAAGGAATAATTCAGAAAGCTCGATCGTGGTCAAGATTCAAAATATAGAGAGATTAGAAGAGAAGACAACAACAACATGTAAGATCATGGATGAACCGCATTACATTCAAACTACACCATAGTCGAGCTTCAGAATTATCTGAAATAATTCAAACCAAGAGTTGAGAAAAGGCTGGAGAATTTTATCTGGATTTGGAGGTGCAAATTCTGCGAGATGAAGAAGGAAAGGGAGGGAGCAGAGAATTTCCAGAAAATAGATTGGCTCCCGAGAAAGAATTTTCTTTCCCCCTTGTTTCATCTGCACATTTTTTTCTCAATCAAAGAGAGAGAGAGAGAGAAAGAAGGGGGAAAGAGGAGGTGGTTACTTCATATAGTCGAAACCTTTTAATTTTTCACCATTTTTTTTAATATTTTGGTAGGTTGTTTGCTTCTCGTTCTAATCTATTAGCTTATCTATCTTCTCTGTGGCGGCTAATAACGATTAAAAATTCCATAAAGACGCACGTTCAAAATATTTTGACACGTGTCTTCGTCTGATTCAGGGGACTTTTGAAGTTCTTAGCTCTCACTTGTTTTTAAAAATCTTTATTGGTGGTACTATTGATATTTGTTTATGTTTCTCGAGGGTTCCATATCCGATATCCCCCACAAACACGTTTTACTTTTCATTATGGGATGATTAGCATTAGCCATTACAAAATTTTGGATTTGTACAAAATAGTCCTGCAATTCTCATTTAGCTCAATTTGATAACATGGATCCAAATGTATGATGAAATTATCGTTTCATTTATCTTCATCTAAAAAATAATTTAAACCCACCTTGTCAACGGACTATGTCATCCAAATAATTAACAATAGTTACCACCTCACCATCCAAATTTACCAACTGATCCAACTCAAACCAACCAAAAATAACCCATCTGAACCCAAATGATATTGTTGACATATGTTCAAAAACTAAGGTCGTTCATTCTTCGCAATTTGAGAAATTGAAGAAAGATGTTGAAGCTTATAACTCTACAACTTATCTCTTCTTTCTGCTGAAGCTATAGGAACCGTGGTCATGAAATGCAGCAAAGCAATTGTATTACTCGACACTGATTTCGGGACTGCTTGAAATTCCAGGTAATCAATATGAAATTGTCTATATTTATTTGGAATTTTTTTTATTTTCTGGTTGATTGTAATCATTGTGATCCAAAAATTATAGACTCGAACCTATGCATTGAACCCTCTAATTGCAACTTGTTAATGTCTATTCTATCACAAGATTTTTTATTTTATTTTATTGTTATTATTTATGCAAATTGCATAAAGTTATCAATGTTCATTGACGAGCTCGAATTATCCGCCCTTGTAAGTTTTGTATTCACCCAAGAGCAAGCAAGCTTGGTGTCATAGGTAATATCTATTAAATACTAGTTAATGCTCTTCTTATGTTGTTGTCTATCTGCTAAAGTGCATGAGTTGTTAACTTGTTCAGTGTAATTTTCCTTTGTTTATCTACAAAAGGTGGGTGGTCAAGAGTCTTGTCGGAAATTGTACAATTTTGCAAGAGATTATTTAAGAAGAATCCGAACTTGTGATGAAGATAGCACTATAAGAGGTTTCTATTCATTACAAGAATTGTATAGTAGTGATTCATAAAGGTTTAGCAACTTTTAATGTTAAATTACCATATTATATTCAGGACACTTGCATAACAAATTGAAAGAACGGAAAAGGAAATGGGAAAATGAAAACACATATTTGAAGTTCAATAACTTCATGTTTATTTATTGGACTTTTAGGCATTGGTGGTCTTCACATAGCCACTTCGATTGAGTCTTTCTATTAAAGTGTTGTAATTTATCAACTCAAATGAACAGTTGTTACCATCTAAAATCCTGAATATTTCAAGGGCCTCATGAACCATTATGTCTCTTTATTTGGGTTGGCAATCGGTTACCGGTTAACAGATAATCGTTCGTTATAATCGAAAATCGATCGATTATAATCGAAATTCGGTCGGTTATAACCAAAGTCGGTTGGTTACCAGCTAACCAAAAACCGACAGAAGACATTGACGGTCGGTAGTTGGATGGGAAAAGGAAGGAGTCGGTTAGCCGAATAACTGACGATAATTAACCGTGGTTAACCGGCTAACCAACCCAAACCGAAATCCCACATCCAAACGTTCAAAACTTCAAATTAAAAAGGTAATGAGTGTGTTGGCGGGTCAAATGTTGGGTCTGGGGGATTGGAATTATTAATGCTCTTTCCTATTTTTGAGCAAATTCATATCCCTGTATTTGTGGAAAGCAGTAAAAGAAGGGGCAAATTATTAATACTCTTTCCATTTTCGAGCAAATTAATGCTCTTATTTTTCAATCTTCCAGTCTTCTTTCTTGGAAAAGAGTTTATAACAAATTATTGATTTATGGTCATAATTAATTAGGGTTGTCGTGTTTGAAACTTGAACGTAAAAGACGAAAAGGGAAGGTCCCTAATTATTTGTGGGTAAGGGGGTCGAAGAAGAAAAGGATAAGGTGGCTTTCAATATTACGCAACTTTAACAATTTAATTTTGCTAGATTTTTTATTTGTTAATTAAATTTTTTTGTTAAATGTTTATACATTGAAATTAATTGATGGATGATGTGTAGAATTATGATTTTCTATGCAGGTTGGGGTGTTGTCCGGTTGGTTACTGGTTTAAACCGACACCACCAACAATTTTTCGGTTTCGCGGTTAATTGCGACACAAACCAAAAACGTGCGATCGGTAGGCCGGTTAACCAAAAGTTTATTCCGGTCGGTGAGGTTTTGGGGGTGTTTCGGCTAACCGATAACCGAAGTTTCAATTTCGACTATATATAAAGCACCAAAGAAAGTGTTATAAATTGTGAACGGCTATTTGCCGCCAATCAAATTGCTATTTGCCGCCAACTAAAAAAAAAAAAGGAATTCAAAATTTGAATTTTCTCTTCCTTCATAAAGTGCCTCCGTCGCCGGTAAAAAAAAAAAAATTTAATTTTGAATTTTCCCTTCCTTCCCAGTGCCTCCGTCGCCGGAACCGTTCTTCCGTCGTCGGCTAACCTCCCGTCGCCCTCAATCGTCGGAAAACAAGTAAGTTTACTTTTTCTGGCCAGTTTTCCAGTTTTCCGGTAAGTTTTCCAGTTTTCGGCAAAAAACACGGCGGGCCGAAAAAAAATTGCCGCCCGAACGTCGCCGAGCCGAAAAAAATTAGTGGCCAGGACGACGGCCGGCCGAAAAATTCTTTCGGCCCGGCGACGCCACGGCCGCAAATTTTTTTCGGCCGGTCGCCGAACACGCCGGCCAAAAATTTTCCGGCGGCGTGTTCGTCGGCCGGCCGAAAAAAATTTGCGGCCGGAGCGACGTCGGGCCGAAAGAATTTTTTTTCGGCCTGTCGCCGAACACGCCGGCCAAAAATTTTCCGGCGGCGTGTTCGTCGGCCGGCCGAAAAAAATTTGCGGCCGTGGCGTCGCCGGGCCGAAAGAATTTTTCGGCCGGCCGTCGTCCCGGCCACAAATTTTTTTCGGCTCGGCGACGTTCGGGCCGCAATTTTTTTTCGGCCCTCCGTGTTTTTCGCCGGAAAACTTGAAAACTTACCGGAAAACTGGCCGGAAAAAGTAAACTTACTTGTTTTCCGACGATTGAGGGCGACGGGAGGTTAGCCGACGACGGAAGAACGGTGTCGGCGACCGACGATTGACTTGCCTCGCGCCCGATCTTCGTCCAATCGACCCCGAACTCGCTAGAAATCCATAATGAAATTCATAAGTTCATAATGACACTAGGGTCATTAAAAATACAACTAGAAAAACAACAACATATAAATAGAGCATTGCAACACGACACACGATTTACGTGGTTCACTAACACGAAGTATTTATAGTACTTCTCCATGTGGGTCTAAACCTAATCCAATATGACAAAGGAAACGGTTACAGACCAGGCCCAGAACCCGAACCCAAATAACATTGAGCCCATACACCGTGGGCCGGGGGCGTTGCCCCCAGCGAGACCCCCGATTACCAGTCGTAGCGGCTGATAGTCCGATTCAAGTCACATCAACAAAGGGTTTAGGGTTCAGGGTTCACTTAGGGTTTAGGGTTTAGGGTTTGAAACACATGGTTCGTGTAGCACTTTGCCCACATTGTCTAATGGTTAGTGATGATTCATGGATGCGTGTACGCATTATATGTCGAGGATAGGCTTTCCCGATGATTTTCCGGCGAGCGTTGAATTTTTCTGATTCAATACGTTCTCTGAAAGTTGGATATGTTGTAGATTGTGAAACTCCTTAACCAAAGATGTATATATATACATTTTTTTTCATCGATGATTTTCCGGCGACTTTCCGGCGACTTTTCCGGCGGGCGTTGAATTTTTCTGATTAAATACGTTCTCTGAAAGTTGGATATGTTGTAGCTTGTGAAACTCCTTAACCAAAGATGCATATATATACTTTTTTTTTTTTTTGGTTGGCGGCAAATAGCAATTTGGTTGACGGCAAATAGCAAGCCCCTATAAATTAGGCTCAATGGCTCAACAAGATCTCCGCATTTGCATAATTGTTTGATTAAGATATTGTATGTAATCACGATATGATGATAAAGACTTATTTTCATAAGTGTAAGGATCTCATCGGCTACATCCATGTAGCCACAACTAGAAAGAAAATGGATGCAGAGTAGTCAAAATCCCGATTTAAATATTAAAATCCTATGTTTTTTCGATTTTACTTACCTATTCCGATTCTGACTTCACTATAAAATCTATGGACCTTAAAATCCTACACTATTCACGATTTAAATCATTGAAATCTTTAAAATCTTACGATTTTACGATTCAAATCTTTGAGTCAATTTTACTTATTTCTCCAGAATTTGAAAAATTACGCCTTTTCTTCTTCTCCCCACTAACATCATCTAGTTCTCTCACACTAACCACCATCGACTATAATCAATTCACATCAACGTATTAATCATCATCGATTCACCACCTCTTAATATTAACTTTGATAAATTGGAACATTAACCTTGAAAAATTATCATTGTAAGTGTTATGTGCTTTTATTTTATTCATGACTTTTCTTTGTAATATTATTTTGTCTTCATTTTTATATGGACCTTAAAATCCTACAATTTTACGATTTCGATTTTACCCCCATTTTTTATTTTACGTAAAATTCTGATTTTGACTGCTTTGAATGGATGATGTGTTGTGAGTCACTATAGTTCTATTTCTTGCGATAGAACATTAAACTAAAGCTACAACTTCGAAATTTCCATGTTTTCATGTGAGATTGACTAATGAGTTGTATGTAGCAAGATTAGGAAAGAAGCCATCCATTGTCATGAACAACCCAACAATGCATATAGACAACCTCTATAGGTAGTGTGTAGATTATCAAGTAAGGAGGCAACCACACCTTACTTGCACCTTCCAGTACTTATATTCAAGATTCACTCTAATAAACATGGTTCGTATTACCGTGTTTTAAGTAATCACATTTGGACGACATCCACACATACTCATTTCTTATAGAAGTTTGATAACAGAATTCACATGCCCTCTCTTGTGGTGAAAAAGCGATGAACCCTCCCTTTAATAGTCAACAAAAGAGAACTTTAGGTTTTCGAGACAAAAGCAAATATCTTATGTTCTTCCTGCGCCTATATCCTCTGTAAACATTGCAGACGTAAATTTTACATTTTAATTCGTAATTGGAAACCCCCAATCAGACGACTACAAGTTTAGAAGCTAGTAGAATGAAGAGAGTTGACAAGAGAAATCCATCTTAATAAAGACAAGTTTTCGGCTTCCCTCTTCCTGGTCAAAATTTCTGATTTCATTCAGCAACAAAATCACTTTATATACAGTACACACAACGAGCGTTATAGCTTAATAAGGGCCACTGCCAATTGTGCAGTGTCGTCGTGGAAGAATTACGTTGTTTAGTTGAGCGTAATAATCTATAAAATATATAAAGCAGATTCATTTGTCTATTTTCTACCATGTCAAATTCCTAGCAACGAGAGTGAAAGTAGGAATGGTATATTCGTCATTAAAATTATTTATTTCTTATTTGAGAAAAAATATATCAGTGTTGAGATTTTAACCCGAGTCTCTTTTGAAGAAGACAATAATTATAACCAATTACACTAAAAAATTGGTGTATTTTTTAAAATAAAAAATATATCTATATCTATATCTATAAGATATATAATGGGGATTCATTTCTCTATTTTCTTCCATTTCAAAAATCTTGCAACGAGAGCAAAAGTAGGAATGATACATTCGTCATTACAATTGTTTATTTAGAAAAAAACTATCAGTATTGAGGTTTGATTCTGGGTCTCTTCTAAGGAAGAGAACAATCATAACCAACTACACTATATAAATTTATTGTATCTTTTTAAATTAAAAGTATATAAGAAGCAAAAATCTAAAATATCATATAGCTTTTCCAGAACGGTTAGCTAGTCAACTAAGTCTCTTTTAAGTATTTCTTTATTGTTTGATACTTCGGATTTCATTTTTTGATTATTATACTTTTAGTCTAATAATTAAATTAATTTATGTCTATCTTATAAATGAAGGACCAAATATCATTCATTTGAATATTGCATATCAAATTGCAGTATTAAATATGTAGAAGTGATGTGAAATTATTAACTTAGTATCAATTTTTAGAACTATCATCAAGCAACTATATTTTGTGCAAAGAATAAGTGACTGGTTTCTGATTTTTTTTATAGTTCAGTTAATTGCTAAAACTCAAATGTCTTACTAATCTAGCATGATTATATCAACAATCAAGAAACGAGATTGAGTTTAATGTATAGGTTCATTTCACCATTTTGGTATTTGTAAGTAGATTTGTAAAGTCGGTACAAATGACTGAGTAAAATGACTTGATTATGCATTTTGTTTCTCATACAAATAAAATAGTTTAAAGTTTGATGCAACTTTATCCTCACTTGGTTGGTTGAATGAGTTTTGTTTTATCATATATAATAATTATTTTATTTATAATATTTTTTATGTTTGAAATCTTTTATGTAGGTTTAGAAGTATACTTATTTTCAACATTAGTGACAATTGGTTGCAATGTAAGTAGTATTTATTAGGTATTTGAAGTCGATTACCGAGTGCATTTATATAGTGTCGTTTAGGTTGGTGCTAGGAACGAGTATAAATTTCATGCAAATGGGCATAGCTATGAATTTAAAATTTTATTTATGTTAAAATATTTATATATTCTCGAACATTAAGTAATTCGGGCCATTGAAACCAAATGTAGCAACAAAATTCATGATCCAAAAACCTGTATTTTTTTAACATTCATGAGATTTTTTGTGAGCTTATATGCATATTTGAAAGTTACATTGTTGTTGATTGTGAATGATTTTTTTATTAACTTTCCATCAAAACTTGGGTATAGTTAGGTTGGTTCAAGTGATTGCTTATTTAGGACATGGAATTGGCTGGACATATCAGTTGTCATACCAAGTAAACATGGTGGTGACTATTATTTTGGGCAAATACCATTAGGAAATACGAACTATAAATAAGTGTTACTTGTGTCCCGAACAATTTAACATGACATTTATGTCCAAAACTATTTTTTGTTAGTGTTGACCGAGTTTGTATGAACTCATATGGCAACTAAAAATAATAGGGCTAATACCACTGGGAAACCCGAACTATGAAGTGTCATTTGTGTATCGAACTATTCTATATTCTATTTATGTCCCAACATATGATAGTTGTGTGTCATTTATGTCTTGACGATTTTGTTGACCGTTATAGATAGCGGTTGACCAGATGGTGGTCAACTTGATGTTGTCTTAGGAGCAAAATCGATGGAGTGATTAAGAAGATTTGGGGAGTTTTGTAACTTTTTATAAGTGAGAGAGATAGGAATGAATATAATAGCCATATTAGGTGAAATTGAGTTCATTTAATTTTCATATAGTAATTTATTGAAGCTCTTTGAAGGCGTCAATAACCGTATTTTTCGACAGTAACTAGATAGTTTTAGTAAACAAAGTTGTCCATAATTGCACTCTATACCGATCCCTTAAGTTGATGTTGTTTAATATATGTAGTTATACATAATAAAATTAGTCATTTGTCTACTACCATCTCAAATATGCATGCTATACTTATACAAGAGCAATGAACGCGAACATTATAGGACAATCTATGACAATGATTTGTACACATTTGTCCAAATAAAGAGCTAATTTCATTTAACTCATCGTCATTGAAAATTGTAACAAATTTAGAAATATATGTCAATATTCTGACATTATATGTCAATATATAATTCATGCCATGATCGACAAAGAAGATAAAAATAAAAATTTGATGGATACATTGAACTCCATCAAAGTACAATCATTTTCTTTTATGGTGAGGATTGATTTGTATGTATCATTGGAAACAACTCACATGTTATTTACGGACTGTTAAATATAAGCAACACTTAGTAACCATATATGTCATTGTTAGTTGCATTTCTTTGTTAATAGTTTTGAGTTTCACATGTTTTCAACATGTTCTAAGCATACTCGAAACAATTTAAGTATTTGTCACATCATTAACATATATACTGCATACAAATTATATAACTATCGAACTCTCACGACCAACAGGCCGGGTCATGTGCTTGTTAAATTAAAAAGACCTACGAGTAGGGGTGGGTATCGGTGCGGTTCGGACCGCATCGCACCGCATTGATATAAACCGCACCGCACCGCATCTTAATCGAACCGCACCGCATTTCGACCGCTAAGTTATCGGTGCGGTCAAACCAAACCGCATAAAATAACGGTTTGATATGGTTTAGACCGCACCGCATCTTGACCGCAATTCATTATGGCTTGTACATAATTAATAAAAATTACTCAGTTTCCTGCCACCAAAACAAACAGAGCAGTATGTCTATAATGAGACAGGGAATAGCTGTTGCAACTATTTAATACATGTACTCAATGGTTATGACAAACCTGCTACAACTGGTTTTTCCCTGGAATTGTTAATAACTCAATGGTTATGCATACGTACATAGGGAGTATAATATTAAAGCTGCTGCAACTATATATCCCATCAAGCACACATAGTTCTGTGAAACCGAAGGCAACAACTTAGATACTTCAACTATGTATCCATCAACACTACAATTTGAACCTTACAAAACTAAGACATTATTCTGCTTGTGATAAAGTCAACATTAAGGATCCAACATGGCTTGTCCAAAACTTCAGCAGCCATTCTGAATTGTAGTCTCCACATTTTTAGGGTCAAGTTCAGGAATCGATCCAAACAAGTACTTCAGCTTTGACGGCTTCCGTGTAGTTTCCATCAACCTGAAAGAACAGATTATCCATAAATAAACAAGGCAGCCAGCATATGCAATTAGACCAAATGCCATAATTGAATAGAAATAAATATGAAATAATTGTGCCTATGACTTTGCCACTCCTCCCAAATATCATGGACGATTACATACACGTTATGTTGACTGCAGCTCTATACTCTTCACATTGAAGCAAGTAATTGCAGAACCCAGCTGGTAGCTAGATGTTGGATCCCAGTTCCAGATACTACCACTTATTATAAAAACAGAGTCAACTAGTCTTTGGTATGATCATAGTGAAGTTTGGTTCTGGGAATTCTTCATCATCTCCCATGGCGTTTCTGAACATTCTGTTTGTGGGTCTCATTGTCCTAGTTAGTGTTGCAGCTAACATTAATGCATCAGAGAACAGTAATGGTGGAAATAATCAAGTGGCAGCAGTTTTTGTGTTTGGGGAGTCTCTAGTTGACACAGGGAACAACAATTACATCCCCACCATTGCCAAGAGCAACTTCCCTCCTTATGGAGAGACTTCCTGGGAATTGAAGCTTACAAACAGCTAGGCCAAACTCAAACCACACGACACAGCCACAAACAGAGCGGGAAAGCCAAACCAGAAACGAGCAAAATGAAATAAACATTTTCTGCTCCTGATGTTTCCAGTATTTGTGAGTTTGTGAAGCAAAAATGACTTCCCAAAGTATTTGAACTAAAGCTGTATCCTATTGGTTTTTGTTATTGAATATTGGTTGCTTCAGTGAATCTCCAATCTTCTTTGTGGTATTCTGGTCACGAATAAAATCGGTGATCGAGGAAAAGAGTTCAGGATCTCCCTTTCGTATATCAGAAAAAGGTTCTATAGCGGCCTGGAATGTTCAGACCGGAACTAATGCTGCTGCCATGCAGCAACTGTTATGTGTTAGCAGCAAGACTTTGCACAATATTAGGAGTAACGAAACGTTAATGGGAACACGACTTCGGACATTATTTGCCAAACATCATCACAATCAAGAATAGCTTATGATCAGGAATCCCAAACTGAATCTAAAAGCCAAACCTCGACTCATTTTCATGGTGAGATCCATCATTCCCAAGTTTCCACCTTGGAAAACCTACAATATGAGCCTGGGGTTTCTACTGCCTAGTTGACAGTACCCTTTCCCTTTCTGCTACCCGTTTTTGCACTCTTTCAAACTAATTGCTCTGGCTGCGAACACACAGTTTTATGTTCCTGTTACCTATTTTTGTAGCTGAGTTAAATTCCAAACGACAAAATCAAGAATAAGCTACAATAATGGACCAAACATGCTAGCACTCCTGCCTGGTATCTAACCAAAATTGTATGCAACTTCCTTCTCTAACAGGTCACTTCGCACTTGCATTTGAATTGATACCAAAGACACCATTCAAGACGAATCAGGAGAAAAGAGTAAAGAGATTCCAGACTACCCTAGATCAACAACCCTAGATCCATACCCAATGACTCTAATAAACCCACCAAGCATACCTAATATCTAGTATCTATTCGTAGTATAAAACCCACGAAGGGGCAAAGGGCTCGGTGGGTGGTCGCCTCTTGGCGGAGGTGCGACGGGAACACAACGGGGAGAGCTAAGGTTGAGGAGGGAGGGAGAGAGTACCAGCCGCTGAGAAACTGGACGTCCGGCTACGGGAAGTCGTGGAGGCCTTCGATCCGCCAAAGCACCGTAGCTCCGACAATATGATAGATTGAGATGCCTTCGATCTAGAAAGCTTCATCGCCGATACTATGTTTTTGAAAGTCTGCCAAAGCACAATAACTCCGAGAATAGGGTAGATCGAGATGCTGGAGAAGGTCGAAGGCGGAAGAACGGTAGCGAGAGAATGGTCGGATCTGCCGCTGCCGCCGCCGTGAGTAGCTCGCCGTGTGGTGAGTAGATGCGTATGGGTGATGGATCTGGATCTCCGCAAATCTGCTCGAGTCGTGGTGATTGATTAGGAATTAGCAGTTTGCGGTTTTGAACTGCTATCGTGCGGTTTCGGTCAACCCAAACCGCGAACCGCTAACCGCTTATCGATTAAACCGCAAATGAAACCGCTAACTTAATGGTGCGGTTTGGATTGCCCGCATAAGCGGTTTGGAGCGGTTTGGTCAAACCAATGCCCACCCCTACCTACGAGGGAGTAACACAGCCAGATTTCGTTTGACATGATGAGATTGGGCTTTTTCGCACCCACCATTAGGGGCCTTAACTTAGATTGGGCCATACGTATGAACATACTATTTGGAGGAAAAGGCCCAATAACTGCCACTGCCAACTCTGCCATGTCATCCAAGCCCCCGACCCCGAGGCTAACTCCCCCCCTCACTCTCAGTCTCAGCCCACTTCCTGCTGCGACGAGATCGCGGTCTCAACAAATCAGCCTGCCAGCCAGCGCTGCTGAAAACATCGGCAAATTCCTCTCCGCCGTCTACGTCTCGAGAGGGCGAAGCGAATTACGTTCTTGCCGGCGCTTGTGGCCACTCCACTTCTTCATACTTTGTCATCTCGAACTCAAGCTCGGAATAATTTCTTAGAATTTTGCGATTGATCGACTCTCGGAATCATTCTCAAGTCGTAATGATGCAACAGCAGCCGCATGGAGTTGCTCCTGATTTGGCACAGCTCCAGTCGACGATGCACGCGATCGAGCTTGCTTGCTCTTCCATTCAGGTTTCTTGCTCACTTCCTTATTCGCTTCTTTCCCCCCGATTAGGACGGAATTGGTTACTCGGCTTCTTGATAATGGCTGCAGCTTCTTGCGTTTGCGGTAGGTCGTGTTCGGGCGAGAAAGTTTAGTTGAAGGTTTAGTAGGTCTCTTGTTTGGAACTTTTTTTTTTTTTTTGCGACGGTTTAAGCACTTTCCTGATCAAGTCTTTACCTATATTGGTAATGTGTGAGTGAAATGTATCTGGATGTGTAACGTTGCTGGCTGGAGTGCATAACTTCAGCATGTTGCTATGATTTGCATTTGCGTGATGCTTGCCTTTTACTTCCATATAAGTGGGCAAGTTGCTGGCATGAACATTGCTTTCTTACTGTTTGATTGTGTGGCAGATGCACACAAATTCGGCGGCAGCAGAGGCGACGCTATTGTCACTAAATCAGTCCACGCGTCCCTACAAGCTATGCCAATTTATTCTTGGTGCGTGGGTTTGCCCAACAAACTAAGGCACATGTCATACTATGTTGCAGTGAGTGTGTAACCACCCATTTACTTTCCTGTGTGTCAGATAATTCTCAAGTTGCAAATGCAAGGTTCCAAGCTGCTTCAGCAATACGTGATGCAGCTATGAGGGAATGGAGCTCTCTAACAGGGGACGACAAGAAGGGCTTGATAGGGTATCATCACTCAAACCGTATCCGAGTAAAATGCTACTAGTGCCATCTTGGAGTTCACAGATCTATATGCTTCTATTTCTGATAGCCTTTGTGAAGTCTTGAGTGTGAAATTAAGGTTTACATTTTTGTGAGTGGGAGTTCCGTTTGATTTTTTTATTCATCAATCTATCTACTGATACGTTTCTTTCACTGTAGGTTTTGCCTGTGCTATGTAATGCAACGTGCTAGTTCACCTGAGGGCTATGTACAAGCAAAGGTGTCTTCTGTTGCTGCCCAGCTGATGAAAAGGGGCTGGTAAATTATCTTTTAACCCTGAAAGTTACATGAATATTATATGCTGATTATCTATGTTACACATCAGTACTTCATCCACCTTTCCATGAGAAAAGTATATAAGAGACACATAATTCGTATGTGTATAAATGACAACGGATTAGGTTTGAGCATGACCTCTTTGTTTGGAAGATTTAACAAGACAGGATAACTCTGACTCCATGATTTTGTATACTTCAAGTGTCAACTGGAGACCTTCTCTCTCTCTCTCTCTCTCTCTCTCTCTCTCTCTCTCTCTCTCTCTCCTCCCCAGGGGGTTCTCCTAAGGGGCCCCTGCTCCTCTGAAAGAGAAAATACCTTGTACTTTTACTCACTTTTAAATTAATCTATATATGTAGGCTTGAATTTACTGTTGCTGAGAAGGAAACATTTCTTCATCAGGTACCCTCTTTCAAGTGTTCTGTATCGATTAGCTAATGTTGAATATTATAGGTACACGTTCATAAGGTTGGACATGTGGAATTGAATAATCCTACAGGTTAATCAGGCTATTATTGGAATTCATGGAATAGATGTGCAGTTCTCTGGAATCAATTTTCTTGAGTCACTGGTACATGTGGCTTTAATTTTCCTTTTCCCTATCTGTTTTGATTTATTCTGACGACACCATCTAGATTATATATATTCCTTAACTGAACATGAATCAAGATCTAAATTTCCTTTTGATAGGTTTCCGAGTTCTCTCCTTCTACTTCAAGTGCCATGGGGCTCCCTAGGGAATTTCATGAACAATGCCGAAAGTCTTTAGAGCTTCATTATCTGAAGGTTGTTGCTGTCATGTTTATTTGTATTATTATGTGTTTCGGTTCATCAAAGTTGTGTATTAGCATATTGGGAAGTATTATGTACATCTTCACTCTGCTCTTCCCTTCACATAACTTTGTATTGATTATTGCTAATTTTGGTGCCTAGACATTTTACTGTTGGGCAAAGGATGCTGCTGTAAGTGTTTCAGCGAGAATAAGTGAATCTGGTACTGAGGTCCCTGAGGTAAAGGTATGCACTGGCTCATTGCGTCTCATGCTCCAAATCCTCAATTGGGAGTTTCAGCCTAATGTCACGTCCGCCAAGGCCGGGATAAATGTGTTTTCACCTGGAGTTAGATCGGACTTGACTGCATCAAAAAGGTCTGACTGTAATGTGGCACAGGTACCTATGTATTGATGTGAATTCTCTCGCATTATATGTTTAATAGGTTTTAGCTTTCCATTGGCCATAGCAAAGACCAGGAGTAAGGAACCTCATGGTTGCTTGGTTTGCTACTGTTAGCACGCTTCTGAGTATTCTGGTTATTGATACCATCGTCACTATTGATTTTTCTGAATACCAATAAAAGTGTTGGAAAAATGGTTGAGGTTCTGTGGTCGTTATCTGTGATATTATACCTATTTTCTTGTGCTATGGATTCTATCGCTTCTCTCTTTCAAATGGTTTAGCATCCTAAAAGTTTAGGAGGAGAATCACCTTCGATGAACCAAATGACCATTTCCCTTCCAATTGCATTCTGGGCTGACATTTAATGATCTTGCATTTGTAGCCTGGTGCTGCATGGCGTGATGCCTTGATTTCAAGTGGTCACGTTGGATGGATTGTAAGCTTCTACGCTGCACTGAGAGAAAAGTTTTCAACTGGGCGTTACTGGCTTGATTGTCCGGTTGCAGTTTCTGCTCGCAAGCTAATTGTACAATTTTGCTCTTTGGCGGGAACCGTATTTCTATCTGGTGCGTCATCCCTTCCCTTTTATAGCCGAGCAGCTGAGAATCTGTTTCAGATAGTGATTTAGATGCAGTCCATACCTTCAACTTACTGTTTTTGTCCAAAGAGTAAAGAAAAATATATTTTTTGTTTGATAGCACATTTTTCAAAAAATCTCTAAATTACGTTAATACATCTCGACTTGGCTTTTTTCATTGAGCTTTAGTTAGTTATCATGACAATGCTAGGTTGGTTTTTATTGGTTGTACTTTATGTTCACTAGCATGCAGTGGTTAGTGATTTAGAAATACTTAATGAGCTGATACTATTTACAGTTTATTATGAAGCAAGCTGGTTGTTCCTTTGGTTTGCTATATCAGCCATGATTCTTTCGGAAGTATCTGCTCCCAGCCTCGGGGGAAGAGGAAAATGTCCTGCTTCCATCTGGAGCTAGGAATTCTACCTATATAACTCTCTGATTGTGTGTGCGGCACAACACTGCTCACAGTTCACCCAATGAATTTTTGTAATCCTAAATTTAGTTGTTTCGTATGTGCGCAAGACTTTTGGTTTCTTGATTTATTTTCAGTGGATATATACAGTTTGTTTGAATAATGCAGGCGATGAACACATGCAACAAAACCATTTACTACAGCTATTGTCTGGGATAATACACTGGATTGATCCTCCTGATGCAATTGCTCAAGCTATAGAATCCGGACGAAGTGAGAGGTCAAATCCGAATCTATTGCATGACACCATATGATTACGTGCTATGCTTCCTTGAATCACTGCAGCTATTATATTGTGTATTCAGTGAGGTGCTTGATGGATGCCGTGCTTTGTTGGCTATAGCAACAGTGGTAAACCCTATCCTATTTGACCACCTATTGAAGTCCATAAGGTTTGAAACAGTGTATGACTTATTTTGGAAGCTTCATAATTTCTTTTGTATTTTATGCTTAATTTTGTATTAAAATACTAGAAATATATCTTCATTTTCCCTTTGTGCTCAGACCCTTTGGCACGCTCACTCTGCTATCAAACTTGATGAGTGAAGTCATCAAAGTCCAAATGACTAAGAGATCTGATGACGAGACATGGAGCTGGGAGGCACGTGATATTCTGCTAGATACCTGGACAGCCCTGCTGATGGTATGCATCCATATCCCACGCAACCAGGAGATGTCCTTGTTATGATTAAATTCATACCTGGAAGTTCTCTTATGATAATTTCCGTATGCTTATTTGCTTTTCTTCTTCTTCAGCCTGTAGACACTTCAGCTGGAAACACAATGCTTCCACTGGATGGCATCAATGCTGCAGCCAACTTATTTGCCATGATTGCTGAATCCGAGCTGAAATGTAAGACGGGGATATTGCCAAGAATTTTGTAATTTATGTGTAATCTTTAAAATATTTTCAAGTGAATAATAGTCTGCTTTGCACCTTAATTCTTATCCATGTAGCTGCATCTGCATCAGCATTGGATGAGGATGATGGAGACGACTACCTTCAGGCTTCTATTTCTTGTACGTAAGGATGTTCCTAGATCTCTAAGTTATGCATGAGATCTCAACTTCAGAAACGACTTCCTACGGTTCATTTTCTAAATTATGATCCTCGTTATGCTCTTATCGTCTGCCCCTCAGCAATGGATGAAAGGCTAATTTCATATGCCCTTATTGGAAGAGCAGCAGTTAATGTTACAATTCCGCTGCTCACAAGATTGTTTTCTGAACGGGTTGCACTGCTTCATCAGGTCCGCTTGTCAATTTTCAAAACACATGTTTCGATATGCTAACTCTTCTGGTTTGGTTAAATGAATATGATGAGATGAAGATTCAAACAATCTGTAGTTACCAAAGTTTCTTATCCCCTTTTCTTGCGAGAGAATAATGATGTGGAATTGATGTATCTACTACTTGGATCATTAACAAGCAGTTATTGGCCCTATTATATTATATAAACTAATTAAATCAGAACACAAGATTGTGAGATACAGAATTAAGCGTATAATCTCATTATCTTTCGCTATGGTTGTGGTTTGCGACACTGTTGTTAGAACCTGCTAGTTGGACTAGATAATTGCTATAGTTAGCAATGAATGAGACCCATTTCGTGTCTGATGTCTGATACTTAACTTGTAGGGCAGGGGCATCATGGATCCAACGCCAACTTTGGAAGAACTCTACTCATTATTACTGATTATCGGGCATATACTTGCAGATGAACCTGAAGGAGAAACACCCCTGGTATATAACTATATTAAGCACATTAATGACCTGGATCTCGCTAAATCTATCCGATATACTTCTATGTGTCTTTTGGTTTAACCCTCAAATCACTGCTGCTCCAGGATTTGCTTCTTGTTTCTATACTCTTACACTGGATTTTCAATGTCCTCTGATGTAATGCCACCACTCCTGTGTTTTAATTCTAGTGTTGTGCATATGTATGTCCAGATTCCAAACAGCATACAATCTGATTTTGCAGACACTGTGGAAACGCAAAATCATCCTGTTGTTATTCTCTCTGTGTAAGTTCTGCTATCCATCTTAATCGAAACATCAGTCGTTTCATTGAGTCTGCATTTCGGATGGAAAGAACCATATATCTCAATTATATTTTGCGATATCTTTGTAAATTTATGTTTGGAATACAAAGGCATTTGGGAATGGAATGTTTAAGATAGTTTGCACATAACACGACTTCTCCTTTTAGATTAATCAACCAAGTGGAAACCAATTTTAGACTAGAGTATGATATGCTTTATATACTCTTAGCAAGACTTCGTGCAGTTGTGTAGATGCTGATTATTGAGTTGATTTTTTCAATTGTGATACAGTTCGATAATTAAGTTCGCTGAGCAGAGCTTAAATCCGGAGATGAGAGCAGCAGTTTTCAGTCCTCGACTTATGGAGGTGGGCCTCAATAATCACTCTCTTTTTTTTTTTTTTGCATTTTCTTTGAAGCCGGACTCTTCATTTTTATATAATGTCAGAACGCCTTTGTCCCAAGTTTATCACTAGGCTGTTGAAACATCTTACACTGCTGATTTGAATTTCATCGGCATTTGACATTTCCTATTAGATTAATGAAATGTTGAATTTCACTAGAATCTGTATGAGAAGCATCAGTAGTTTTCTTTCCAGAAATAACATTGTGACACCTTAGCGCTATAGGGACTCAGTGTTAAATATATATCATCTCTAACATGAGAAATCATTGCTTTCTTTGGTCTTAAAGTTAAGCCCATACGAAAGGAGATTTTGTCATAAGATATATTTTATAATGTTCTGCCTTTATCATGTTTAATATATTGCAGGCTGTTATATGGTTTCTTGCAAGATGGTCTTGTACATACTTACTATCTGAAGAAATTGGAGAAAGTGATTTGCATTTGCTTCAGAACTCAAGGAAAACTCTGCTGAGTTTCTTTGGGGAATATAACCAGGGGAAAAGCATACTTGATATTATTGTCCGTGTTTCTGTGACTACACTCTTGTCGTACCCCGGAGAGAAGAATTTGCAGGTATTAGTCATGATATTTGTAATTGAATCATGAACGGCTTCCTGTGAAAACTAGAATGTTCCTGAGGGTAATATATTCAAGATTTCAGGTTTACTGTTTTGCTCTTGCGTCCAAATTTGTTCCATATAGTCTAAAAATAAGTTAAATTAAGAAACCTTCACATGATTGTTTTTGCTGGACATAGCCTCTGTGCTAGCGCCACATTAGTCTTCATTTGACTTCTCTTACAGATTTACGTACTTGTTTTGCCATTTGCGGAAAAGATCCCAGGAAAGAAAAGGCTAATGTCTGTTTCTGTAGAATTTGGTTAATCTCCTTTAAATTGTGACTAAATTCCGCATCTGATAAATGATTCTGTCCTATCAAAAATGATAAATGATTCTGAGTTAAATCAGGATCTGAAAAGCTTCTGTAATAGATCCTTAGTTTGTTGAAATAATCTAAAACTTGCTATAGGCTACATTACACATGACAAATCGTCCAACACCAGGTATATAAGAATATGCTAATTCTTTTACTTTTTGTCTACCTATATCCATTAAAGGGTTTACTCTGTGCAGTGGCAAAAGCATTATCAGCAGCTGATGTTCTTTGTTTTTGTCCAACAGGCGCTCACTTGCTTTCAATTATTACATGCTCTCGTCCGGCGTAGGCATATTTGCTCTAGCCTTGTTCTACTGGTGCGTTTAATATAACTAATGTGACATGTTATGACAACTCAAAAATTATATTATTGTCGCCTGTGAAGTTCAAGCCTTAAGAGTTGGTTTGCTTGCTTTGAATCTTATTGTGACTAGCACATAAAAAGTTATCTTCGCAGTAAAGGTTTGATTGTCCTGAAGTGGACATTGAGTAAATTGTCATTAAGTATTTAAAAGCTGTCTTCATATGGAGAAGGTTACCTGAGCCAGGCACCCATTTTGCAGGACTCATGGCGTGCACTTGCACGTGCTTTTACAAATGAAGAAGCATTGTTTCTGTTAAATTCTGTTAATCAGGTAAAACCAATTTCATTATCGTCTGTTCTGTTGTACTTTTTTCTTCAGTTTAGAAATCATAGAATTTACTTATGTTTCAGCGTTCATTGGCTCAAACCCTTGTCCTTTCAGCGTCCGGAATAAAAAATTCCGAATCAGCAAATCAGTGAGCCTTCCCTATCAGTCTCCTTTTCTGCTTATCAGGTGTTGCTAACACCTAATGTGTGATTTCTTTCATGTAAAGATATGTTAGGGATCTCATGGGCCACGCGACAAAGTATCTGATAGAGTTGTCTAACAAGAGTGACCTCAAAATCATTTCTCAGCGGCCTGATGTCATACTCCCAGTACGTCTGTGTTCCTTCATCTGCTTATTAGATATATTCTTATGCAGATTATCTGGTTCTTAATCCAATTTCTTTGGTTTTGTGTAGCTTAGTTGTTTACTAGAAAGGCTGCGTGGAGCTGCAAGAGCATCAGAACCTCGAACACAAAGAGCTCTGTGCGAGATGGGGTTTTCTATAATGACTCCTGTTTTAGTTCTTCTTGAAGTGTACAAGAACGAGGTATTACTTTCTTTTTTCGTCAGGTTGAGAGTATCATTCTTGATTTCCTAAATCTTCAACCTCTTGTTTGATATTTGCATAATTTATTTCTGTTCTTAATCTTTGCATCAAAACTGATTCTTTGATTATTGCAGTCCACAGTCATTTATATGCTCCTCAAGTGTGTTGTTGATTGGGTTGATGGACAAATTGCCTACTTAGAATCTAGGGAAACTGCTGCGGTAGTTGAGTTCTCCATACGTTTGCTTCAGCTTTACTCATCTCACAATATTGGCAAGGTAGTGTTACTCATGGTACTTGTGCTGTTCAATCAATTAATCTCATGGTAAAGTTTGATGGCATGTCTGTTTAATTCAACTGGGGGTCGTTTGGATTAGGGAATGTGTAAATGAGGGATTTGGATAAAAATCTCTCAATTAAAAACCCAGGTATTTTAAACGTGGGATTTGATCCAAATAACATGTTTGGGAATAGATGAAGGATTTTAATTAAAAATTAAAGTTACAATTATACCCATCCCTAATCCCTAAGGAAAAATAAGAAAGGAAGAACAAAAGGAGGGGCAGAGTTTGGAAAAGAATGAGAAAAATGAGTGATTGTGAAATAGCTGATCCCCATCAGCTATTTTAAAAACTCTCATATGAGAGATTTAGAATTTCCTCATGCACACAATCTCTCACCTTTCCAAACGCAGAATTGTTTTAAAATCCTGCACAACGAGAGATTGTTTTAAAATCACTCATAAATCCCTCATCACATTCACTAATCCAAACGACCCCCTGGAGAATTTTTTAACTAAGCAATTGTCTATTATTATTCTTGCTTCCTCTCTCATGCTGAAAATTTTGTAATGCTCTAGGATATTTTGTCGTTCAAAAGACTAAGCTGTTGCAAGCAACAGAAATGTGGCCCGCAATAAACATGGCTAAGAAAAAAATGCCAAATAAACTGATTTCTCTATTGTGGGCCCCCGCCTTGCATACCATTTTTATGTTGTAAATCAATTGTATCAGTCATTTTAGATTTATGTTCATCTTCTTTAGACCCATCTCTTATTCTGGAGTCTAAATGTGATCTTTCTTACGCCCTTTTGATTAATTTAAGTTTGTTCCTATCCAGATCTCAATAAGCCTTTCGAGCAATTTAATTAGTGAAGCAAATACAGAGAAGTATAAGGATTTGCGTGCTCTGCTTCAGCTTCTTTCAAGTTTTTGCTCAAAAGATCTGGTATGTAATTAACATGAATAGTCAGTCACGTTCACACAAGCTTATGGATTCAAATAATTTACCTTAAAAGAGATGTTCCTGAATTGCAGGTTGATTTCTCCTTGGATTCTGATGAGTCCCAGAGCACAAACATAGCTCAGGTTAAAATGCAACTCGATGTCCTCTTATAAAAATGAAATAGGTTCTTTCTAAAGCAATTGATTGTTGCAGGTGGTGTACCTTGGTATGCACATTGTTAACCCACTGATATCGCTGGAGTTACTGAAATACCCCAAGCTTTGTCATGATGTAAGCTCCAATAACTTCATTCAGAAGCATATTGGTGTTCTTGCCTCCTTGAAATTGATTAGTAGTTTTATTTGGCAGTACTTTGCGCTGCTGTCACACATGTTGGAGGTATACCCGGAGACAGTTGGAAGACTTGATAGTGAAGCCTTTCTGCATGTGCTTGGGACACTTGATTTCGGACTTCATCACCAGGTATAGTGATGTGGAATAATACTACCTTCTCCGAAGTATGTGATGTGAGCTGGACCTTTGATTTGATGATACAATATAGCCACTTAACCTACTCCCCATTTGTTATATTGATGGTATAGGATACAGAAATAGTGAATATGTGCCTTAGATCTCTAAAAGCTCTTGCTGCCTACCACTACAAGGAAACCACTAGTGGCAATCTTGGCCTGGGCTCTCACGCCACGCCAGTGAAAGATCCACGTGGTGATATGCAAGACGGCGTTTTGAGCAGATTCCTCCGATTGTTGCTTCAGCTACTCCTTTTTGAGGATTACAGGTAATAAGTTGTTTTTAAAATTTATACGTAGTTCAGTTAGCCACGCGTAATACTTGGGAGTACATAATCTTCTGTATTCTAAAGAGATTTTTTTGAGTTCCAGCCCTGATCTGGTGAGCCCCGCAGCAGATGCTTTGTTTCCCTTGATCCTCTGCGAACAAGAGCTATACCAGGTAAATAATACACATAAATTGTTCTCAGAACCCCCATAATGCACTAGCCCTATCAAATTCCTTGGAAATCTTGCCGAGTGTATTTGCTTCGTGTCATACAGAAACTCGCAAACGAGCTGATAGAGAGGCAGGTGAATCCAAGCTTCAAATCAAGACTATCCAGTGCATTTCATATGGTCACTAACGCCAATCAGCTTTCTTGTAATCTTGATCGTATGAACTACCAGAGGTTCAGGAAAAATGTCAATGCCTTCCTCGTCGAGGTACGGGGTTTCCTGAGAACAGTGTAATGCAAAGCCATTCTTCTGTACAAATTGTTAGCTAGTAATTTTTCTTCTGGAGAAAAAAGTAGAGGATTGATTTCTCTTTCTATGTGTTGTTAGGACATTTACGATAGCCTACATGCATTTACTTACCTTGTTAGCTTTACTAGAGGCTTTTGATTGGCTGGTGTATAACGATACATTACATGTGTTTTGAATGTCAAACATACATTTGTAATCACATATACTATCGTAATTCATCATCAGAAGCCACCATTTCTTGATATTACGAACTTTCAACAATTGTAATTTGATTGTAGTGTAGAACCTGGAAAATGCGCACAAACACAGAATAACAGCTACTAGAGAACGGGCAACATAGGTACCCGTCATTTACTCATAGTTACAATTAGCAAATGTTGGTTCACAAATTGTACAAAATAAGGCAACCTGACCAACAGAATCGAAATCGAAACAATTAACAGCTGGGCACACTGAATGCTCTACTTGTGCAATACGCTCTTCTTTGGAACCTTGGGCTTCTTCTGATGGTGGCTCTGCAGGTAAATGGGCATAGCTATCAGCATGCCAAACTACAGTATTATCTTATTTTCAAGAAATCAAGGTGGCTTTTACCTTAGGTCTCCCTAATGCATCATAGTCTGTCCTCTCCTTCCAGTTGCTTTTGCGTAGTTTGATGGGACGATTGCCAACATATTTACCTACAGTTGATGTCAAGCCTGGATTGATCAACACGTAACTCGGGGACCAGATATCAACACTTGCTAAGATATTGTTATTAACTCACCATTCATCTCCTTCAAAGCTGCAGCAAGGTCCGTAGGATTAGAGAAGCTCACAAATCCATAGCCCTTTGTTTTCCCAGTTCGCTTGTCTCTCACGACCTAGAGAATCACACGTTTAAGAGAAAGGCATGATCCAAGAACACATTAAAATCAGTTAGCAGTTCACATAACCAAGGAAGAGCTGAAGGAAAAGCATGAGGATAGGAACAAGGTGATCGTGTGCATAACAGAGGCTGGAAGAAAGAACAATTCCCATAATAGTCTGAGGCGGCCCAACCCCTCATCCAAGGAAAAACAACACGCTATGGCTTTAAAAAAGAGAGGCTAAGCAATCACCCGAGAGATCCCTAGGTCTAAAGTGAATTTTAATCCAAAAAGGAATGGGAACTTGTTGACTTACACTGGAAAGATGTCTCAACTGTGCGTCTATGCCTATAAGTAAACGGATTAAACTCGATCCAAACCCAACCCCATGCAAGGTTCACTGGTTACATTAGAAGCTGTGGAAACTGAATATGGATAGTCTAACAAGAAAGGATCAACGAGAACCAGCCACTTGACATCCTAACGAGTTCCCAATCTTGCCCAACTTGATCACACCAACTCAACGAGAACCAGCCTCTAGTAAACTGAACTATCTACTCAAGGTCAAAATCTTTAATTCCTGATACTGTCCATTAGGGGTGTTCAAATGATTATCATGGTAATTACCAAACCAAATAAGTATAAATTCCATTAACCATGGAATATAATATCATAACCAAACCGTCCAAATTAATCAAACTAGAGGTTAACCAGATTAACCAATATAACATCACATTATCAATAAGTGAGAAATTTTTTCGGTTAATGCATTAATTCGCAATTTATATTATGAATAGAACATAACAATCAATACATAATCATAGTTAACCCTTAACATAAATACATATAACTAATACAATTATCTTATAGTCTATAGAAGTATTCACCTAACAAAAATATATACAAATGTATGTGTTAATGAATTGTTGTGCTTGTGTGAAATAATTTAGTATCTTAGCAATTATCATAAGTGTTCATCCAACATAATGTATGAGTTTTATCTAACTTAAACATTCATATGTTAATCTAAACTATAAAAAAATTGTTGTAGTCTACACTCTACAACTACAAATATATAGTATAGGAATAATATTGACCTTTACTTTTTTATGAGCCTAAAGGGAGGAACATATGAAAGTATTAAGTATGTGTATATAATATATATTATATATATGACTAATTAGTTAATTAGTTAATTGGGTTTGATTGGTCAGGAATGTCTGAAACCAAACCAAACAAGCTAAAAAACTTAATCAAACCAAACCAATTATCCAAATTAACTAAACCAAATTATCCACACACTACCGGTTAAAACGGTTACCACGGTAACCACACCGTTTGGACACCCCTACTGTCCATATTCAATTCGTACTTGACAAAGCGGGAGCTTAATCAACCTCAGAGCTGTTAGATCAGCAGAACCAATTTCTAGACTTTGCAACGCTTAATGGAAATCCAGTCACTCAGAAAGGCCAAAAGTCTAATCAGCCAGTGGAGATGAATGCTAAACGCAGATGAAAAAATACAAGGGGGAGGGACATTTCTTGGCAGAATCATATGGCTAATTACTTGATAGATTGTAAGTAAAAGCCTACCTTAACATACAGAACAACTTAGTCTGTCAGCTTCAAACAAACATCTGAAGAGGACATGCACACAGTTCATAAAAGATTCAAAAATATTAATGCCTTTTAACAACATCACAGAACTTGAATGCGCTTAAGAGACTTACCCTGGCCATGTTGAAGGAAGGGAACCTGGAGAACGCCTTTGAGAGAACGTCATCATTCACCTCGTTACCAAGATCGCCACAAAAAATTCTATAATCATCTGCAAGTTGCAACAATAACGGCGACTTAGCACCTCGCACAAGCAACATATCCAACAAGAGAAGGTGGGTTTGATCTTACTTTCAGGCCACTCTGCAAGAGTGGGATCTTCCCAAGACTGACCCGCAGCTTTCCGGGGAACAGCTCTCTTCTTTGTTTCGGCTTTGTGTTCAATCTCGCTGCTTGCAAGTGCAGCCTTCACACCTTCAAGTGCTTCCGGCGTAATCGTTTGTGCATCTCTCTGAAACAGCTGCTGTGCCTGCTCGTGAACTACCAGAGATTAGAAGCTATTAATCCCCAGAGTTGGCTGAATCAAAAATTAACCGAATAGAAGAGAAAACATCAAGCCATTGGAATCAATGCCGACCTGCTGGAATTGGGGGATTGAGTAAACGGGTCCAACGGGAGCCGTGTAGACGGAACCAACAGCAGGCGGAGCTGCGGCGGGGGCAGGAGGGGCCGCGACAACGTATGGCTGCTGGAGATGAAATGGCGTAGGGAAATACGAAGTGTTCGTTTGCGTCGAGGACGTCGACGGAGCTGAGTAGGTGAATTGCGATGCAGAGGAGGCTGAGGAAGGCGGCGGAATCGACATCGGTCGGGGTTATAGATGTTTTGGATGTCTGTTCAAGACGTAAGAAATGCTAGGGTTTAGGGTTTCGTAGATGACGATCTCTGTGGATTTCCTTCGGTTCGTTGAGAAGGGAGATGTCTGAAAGGAGGAGCCGAGGGGTTTTTTACTTTTTTTTGGTGGTGGTGACTGGTGGTGATGGTGGTGGGGCGTTGAAAAACTTTTTTTTTAATGGTTTTTTTTATAAAAGATAATCATATATTGATAACAGCAATCGATAGTTACATCCTGGAACCAAGTCAGGTCCGAAAATCAAAATGCCGACTCATAGTCGGGTACAAAGAAAGGGCCTTTCTAGCCACAAAATGGGCTACCCTATTGTTACGCCGACCTACAAATCGAATAGTCAAACCAGGATGGGCCTGAAAATAATATCCAATCTCTTCCAGCACCGCCCCCACCCGGTTGTCTCCTTGTCGATCTTATCGATGAGCACTTTAGCATCCCCCTCCAATCTGAACTCCGAGAAACCCAGTTCTAGACACCAAACGAGAGCCTCTCTGAGTAGGGGTGGGCAACGGGACGGGACGGGATACCCGTCCTGTTTTAAACGGGTACCCAGTCCCATTTGGAGACCAAAGTCCATCCCATATCCCAAACTCATATGGGAAACGGGTACCCATTACCCGTACGGGACGGATAACGGGTACCCATACCACCCATAAATACCCAAACTTTAAACCACTAAAATTTTAACAAAAGTTCAAACCTAACTTGTATTTAGGGATGGCAATGGGTCGGGTTGGGTCGGGTTTTGCCAAACCCAAACCCATGGGTTTATTCGTGAAAAAAACCCGAGGTAAAACCCACTGGGTTTCAAAAACTCAAACCCAACCCAACCCGCTGGATATCCGTGGGTTCATGGGTACCCACGGGTTTTTGTCGTAAAAATTTACAATAACAAGTTCCTATCAAAATCAAAGTCAAATATCAATCTCTCAATATAAATTATCCATATATAAAACACTATTCTAGAAAATTCAAGCAAATCACAATTATACTATACAAATTGTTCAACACCAATCTAGAAAACTCAATAAAATTGAAGCAAATCATAAATTATCCATAAATAACATGATTAATTGAAAGCTTCTTCCTTTCAATTAAATTTCTTAATTCTCCACTCGATGACATCAACTTCATTCTACACAATTAGAAAGAAAAAATTAGGCATGTCTCCAGAAACATAAATAAGATTAGTTGTTTATAATATTAGATATACCGAGAAAATTAACTATATGGGTGTGGGCGGGTACCCATGGGTTGGGTTTACCTAAACCCAAACCCAACCCAACCCGGTGAATAGTGAACGGGTTTAAACCCAAACCCGACCCAAAACCCGTCAACACGGATTTTACCCGCGTTGACCGGGTCGGGTCGGGTGGGTACCCGTGGGTTTGGGTTTTGTTGCCATCCCTACTTGTATTTGCTTAACAATCACAAGACACAAAATACATTCCAATAACAAATACTTGGTTTGCAAATTACACATTCACGAACAATCACAACACATAGAAATAAATCATTCCAAGCACCAAATTATCAAAAAAGAAGTTCAATTCAACACAACCAAATGGGAGGCATGTTGTTACTTTCTGCAAGCTGCTGCTGCAGTTCTGCCTTCTCCAGGCTGCTGCTGCTGATGCTCCTTTCTGCAGGCTGCTGCTGCCATTCTCCCTTCTGCAGCTTCAACTGTCCTTCACGGCTTCACCTGCTGCTGTCCTACAAAGAAGATAGTTTAATTTGTATGTAGTATTTGCTAAAAATATATTGAGAGTCAGTGTGTTTATGTTGTATGTAGTGATTACAGAACCAAATTTGAGACTCGTTGGTGTTTTAAAGTGTTGTAGTTAAATATCCATTTTCAGTTTCCAGAGCTCACCAAAATGTGTACTGCTGCTATAGCTTGAATGAAACAGAATTGAGTCATTACCTACCATAGCATTGCCAACTCAAACATCAAAAGATTTGAATATTTATAGGGGGTGGCATTCATAGACTATATACATCAGATCATAAAAGGAGACAGGAGACCGACAGAGAGAGAGTTGCTGCCGGCCGGGTGAGTCCTTGAGCAGAGCTGCCGCCGGCCGCCGGGTGAGTGCTGCTGGACGTTTGCGGACTCGCGGTGCTCCACTGCTCCTGGCTGGCTGCTGCTGGCCGCCGGGTGAGAAGAAGGAAGCCGCGGGCCGTGGCGGTGAACGAAGGAGGAAGCGGAGGCGCGGTCGCGCGGAGGCGGAGCGCTAGGTCTCGCTGAGTCGTTGTCGCCTGTCGCTGACTGAGTCTCTCTGTCTGATACTGAAATTGAAAGGAAGAAAGTGAAAGGCCGAAAGGGAATTGAAAGGTAGAAAGGCCGAAATGGCCAAGGCCTGAATTACAGAATTAGTGAATTGGGGCATTGGGCTGGGCTGTGCCGCTGTCATTGTGGGCTGAAATTTCATCTGCCTTTTGAATGGGTATAATGGGTACCCATATTACCCAAACGGGTATTTGCGGGTAACCCGCGGGTACCCATATTAGGAATGTACAATCCCAAGTCCCATCCATTTATAATATTACGGGTAATATGGGTACCCGTAACCCTTAAAAAATGGGACGGGTACGGGTATACCCAAATACCCGTTTCCCGTTGCCCACCCCTATCTCTGAGTACAAGCAATTCCACAACCATGGGGTCATCCATTGACTGAAACTGAATACCCTTAGCCATAAGGTTCGCCCTTTCCGGATTCATAATAACTATCCCTCCAACTGAGTGCGACCCTCTTCTCGTGGCCCCATCCCACATACAAATCACCCTGTTGTCACCCAAATAATTAATATGGGCTGGATCTGGCGCAGTCCACATCGGAACTGGATCTGGCTCTGTTTACCGTTTATTATAGTCATTTTGCATTTTTTATTTATACAAAACCCCCCAATTGAGACCGCATGTCAACGGTATGAAAATTCCATTGTTCAATTTTGGGGAATTTGATGAAAATCAAAATGGAAAAGCTACACCAAATTATTTTGCCAAAACAGAATATAGAAAGAAAACAAAATTGCAATCCCCATAATTAAGTGACGTTTGGGCTAATTGTGATAATTAAGTTTTATAATGACTATTATATGGCTTGGGACCCTTGGGTTACTATAAAAAATCAAATTTAATGGCTGACTTTGATAGGGTGTTTATCTGATGGCATCACTACTAGGCCTGGAAGTTTGGTATCGGTATTTAGGATATACCGAATATCGTACCGAATTTGTCTATATTTGGTATTACCGAATACACGTATTATTTCTTGGGATTGAGATTGAATTTCAATTGTAATTCGATATTAGAGATTACGGGATTGAGATCGGTATATACCAAAATATAATTTAGTGTGTATTTTATCCTCTCAACTTGACTCTCTCGTTCACTACTACACGACTCTCAACCACCAAGAGTGTCATTTAATTATACATAGATCATTTCATCTTTGTTTCACAACTCAAGTCCCTATCCAACTCAAATATGACATTCCAATTTAAGTCACTCTCATCTCTTACCTAATAACTTGTTATTTTCATAACACCAAAAAGCAAACACTAGTATTAGTTGTCTCCCAGGCTTCAATTCGTCAAATTAAAGATTACCAATGATAAGAACTTGAGATGTAACCTCTCTTTCATTCTTCTTATCCATATCCTAGCTCTAGGCAAACTCAAGACTCTTTGCTTAGTCTCTTTGCCCTAAATTAAACAATCAAATCTAATTTTTATATTTAATTATTTGTTTCAAATGTAATTAATTTCGTATTCGATAATACCGATTGGGATACCGAAGTACCGATTGGGATACCAAATATTTAGGGATTGAGATTGGGATACCGAAATTATTTAGGAATTGGGATTGCCCTTAACTGATTTGTTGCGAAAGGATAGTTTTAAATGGTCTCCTACAGCACAAAGAGCTTTTGAGTTACTCAGGGCAGCCATGGTGCAAGCCCCTGTGTTGGCCCTTCCGGATTTTTCTAAACAAATCACTCTTGAAACTGATGCGAGTGATTTAGGGATAGGGGTTGTTCTTTCACAGGATGGGAGGCCATTGGCTTACCACAACCAGGCTTTAGGACCAAGAAAGCAGGTACTATACACGTACGAAAAAGAATACTTAGCTGTACTACTAGCTGTGAATAAATGGAGACACTATCAAGAAGGGAGATCTTTCACTATACTAACAGACCATGAGAGTCTAAAGTACTTGCTTGGCCAGAAAGTGCACACACAATACAGAATAAGGGGTTGGTGAAGTTGTTGGGTTTGGACTTTGAGATCAAATACCGTCAGGGTAAATTGAATAGGGTGGCTGATGCTTTATCATGAAATCCAGCCTTCTCATATACAGGTGGTTGTCAAGCCATCTCGGGGGTTTTTCCCTCTTGTACGGATATTCAAGGTACATATGTGGGTGATACTGAAGTACAAGCATTGATGGTGGGTGTAGTAGTTCCTTTTGTAGGACATCGGGTTGACTCTATGCAGAACGGTCTACTCTATCACAAATGTGCTTTCTATGTGGTATCTTAGGGTTAGATGCGAAGACACTTGTTTCAGTTATTTCATGGCTCTCCAGTGGGAGGTCATTCAGGACTGCAGGCTTCTTATCAACATCTTAAGCAGTACTTTTGGTGGCCAATTATGAAGAAACCGTTCAAGGAGTTCATTGAGCGATGTGATATTTGTCAACGCTGTAAAACTAAGACAGTTCCTTATCTTGATTTTTTACAACCTCTTCCCATCCCTGAGAGAGTGTGGTACACATATCAATGGATTTTATAGATGGGTTGCTTAAATCGGGAGGTAAAGAGGTAGTGTTCGTAGTGATAGATCGGTTCTCGAAATATGGTAATTTTTTCAGCATGACTCGACCTTATTCTACAGCAACTGTGGCTCAGATATTCTTTGAAGGAGTCTTTAAATTTCATGGGATGCCTCAGACCATTGTGTCCGATCACGATGTCGTATTCACAAGTGTTTTCTGTACTAAACTCTTTGAGTTGCAAGGTGTGGATCTTCATTATTCCACAGCTTATCACCCCCAAACTGACAGCCAGACAGAGAGACTTAACCGATTCTTGGAAGATTACTTGCACAACATGATCCATCGCTCTCCTCAGTCCTGGAGCTC